ATTTCTGGAAACATTTGTCCAGAAAATCTCTGCGTTGTGGCCAGTCTCGGTCAAAGGTGTTTACAAAACTCAACATGCTTTTTTCATGGATATTTACTAATGAAGGAAAAATGAAAAACAATTGTTTCAAAACTGAAAATTTAAACTATGTCGCCTTGGGTGATTATATTTTGTGGGCTCAAGACTCATGTTTTTCTGTTTTGCAAATACATAAAGGTGTGTCCACGACTAACATGGCGCATTTTAACTTAATTCAATTACATAAAGGTGTGTCAACAACTATCATGGCGCGTTTTAACTGAATTCAATTACATAAAGGTGTGTCCACAACTATCATGGTGCGTTTTAACTTAAATCAGTTACATAAAGGTGTTTCCACAACTATCATGGCGCGTTTTAACTTAAATCAGTTACATAAAGGTGTGTCCACAACAATCATGGAGCGTTTTAACTTAAATCAGTTACATAAAGGTGTGTCTAGAACTATCATGGCGCATTTTAACTGAATTCAATTACACAAAGGTGTTTCCACAACTATCATGGCGCGTTTTAACTTAAATCAGTCACATAAAGGTGTGTCCACAACTATCATGGCGCGGTTTAACTTAAATCAGTTACATAAAGGTGTGTCCACAACTATCATGGCGCGATTTAACTTAAATCAGTTACATAAAGGTGTGTCTAGAACTATTATGGCGCATTTTACCTGAATTCAACGTATTTGTAGCAGTATGTCAACATATGGCGCATGGTAATACAAGAACACAAATGTGTAACTAAATATATCATGACACTAAATGTAAGTATTTGATGAACATACTTCAACTTATTTTAGCGTTATACGCGTTACAATGTTTCTTGAAGCGATTTTTTTATATTCAATCGTTACAGTGTGTAGGAAAGGTAAAATAAGAGGTAATACCAGTAATGTTTAGGCAAAAGACTTATAAGATTCGGTAGGAAAATTAATCACAATCCTTAATCTCGTAAGGTCCCATTTAATTTAATTAATTTGTAGCGTTACAGAAAGAAATGAAAGGTGCAAATTCTGCTAACAACTAATTTACAAGTATCACGATTGTAAGCCTTGCTCATGTTGGCAGTATGAACCTACAGTGCACTTAATGTCAATGTTTGCTCCTCAGCATGTCAATTTGTTTTGCTCAATTAACCTGGGGAGCAGAATATATTCCAGTTAAACTAATATGGGATCTTCTGGATACTGATCAAATTGACGATGCAAGATGATGATCAAATAATGATTGTACAATTGATTGGCATCCCTCTGCTTCATAATAATACTTGCTTCCTACTGATGTCGACATAATTGTTTTTCAAATTGTCTAGCTTTTGGCGTCTACATTTCACAAGTGAGAAATCATGTTCAGTGTCTTATTTGGATCTATAGGTAGAAATTCAATCTGTACAATAAGAGGGAAGATTTCGAATTTCCAATCGTGGATTTTCCCTTCATGTCGAGGAATATACCATCCGCTCTTGCTTAAGGGGTAACATTTCTCACTTGTTTAGGTACCTCCCATGCAGCATGTACCTTGGGTTCCGATTTCACGGAAAGACACACTCAGCCGCACTCAGCAATATTCTAGCTATATGAAGGCGGTCTGTAATCCAGTGTTTGCCATCATGAACATCGATCCACGGAATTGGGATCGATGACATGCATCAACCAAGTCAGCGAGCCTGACCACCCGATCCCGTTAGTCGCCTTTTACGACAAGACTAGTCGCCCCAGCGGAATGTACTAAGTATTACATGTCACTTGTCAGCTTGAAGCACGTTGCTATGCCATGAGATTGTGGAGAATTTGTTCCAGATCACCACTGACACCTTAATGTCCCGATACCATGAATAAAAACTCTTCTTTTCAGTATACTTGTTTTTAGCCAGTCTTTCCAAATTGGGACCCGTGAAGATTCCGGGGTAGGATGGGTCTTCAGCAACCCATGCTTGCCGTAAAAGGCGACTCTGCTTGTCGTAAAAGGCGACTAACGGGATCGGGTGGTCAGGCTCGCTGACTTGGTTGATGCATGTCATCGATCCCAATTGCGTGGATCGATGCTCATGATATTAATCACTGGATTGTCTGGTCCAGACTCGATTATTTACAGACCGCCGTCATATAGCTGGAATATTGCTGAGTGCGGCGTTAAACAACAAACCAACCAACCAACCAACCAACTTTCCAAATTGGAGGTTTCTTCCATAGCTAAAGGTGTCCCGAATCGTGACTCAGATTCTTCATTGAAGGCCTGTTTCTGCCTTGTGTTGCACGTGATGGTCCTTCATCAGAAGAATTATATTGGCCAAAGTCATCTTCCTCTGATACAACAAAGTTCAAATTCGAAATGTTCCTTTCAAGAAGATTTTTAAATTCTGTATTCTATGAAATTCCGAAAATGCATTTTGCAAAAACTTACTTTACCGATCCGATCATTCTGACTCTTCTGCGTAAAGAAACAGAACAGCAAGGAGGGGAACTTAATTTGGTGCCAATGGGAATGCCTACTTCTTGCCTAAATGTCCCAACCCCAAATTTAACATAGCTATATCTATGGTCACCACGCTGAGTGACTCATGATACCCGTGAAGATCCGGGGTAGAATAGGTCTTCAGCAACACATGCTTGCCGTAAAAGGTGCCTATGCTTGTCGTAAAAGGCGACTAACGGGATCGGGTGGTCAGGCTCGCTGACTTGGTTGATGCATGTCATCGATTCGAATTGCGTGGTTCGATGCTCATGATGTCAATCACCGGATTGTCTGGCTCAGACTCGATGATTTTCAGACCGCCATCCCCGCATTTAACATAGATGTTATCTATGAGGAAGCCTAGCCTTTCACAAAGTGTTTTCCACAGGAAACTTCAGATGACATTTGCTTTTAATGTGTACAAATTGTCCAGGACCTTTGATAATAGAGTGAGTGATAATGGTTTTACGCCGCTTTTGGTAATATTCAAACAATATCACGTCGGGGGACACCAGAACTGGGCTTCACACATTGTACCCACGTGGAGAATCGAACCCGGGTCTTCGGCGTGATGTGCGAACGCTTAAACCAATAGACTATCCCACCGCTCCTTTGATGGTAGAGATGTAACTACATCTATTGTCACCACACTTAGTGACAAATGCCCCATGGATCAAGAAAGGATCCTTTTGCCTTGTGTCTGCGACTGGTTTCAGCCTAGAAACATTTTGATGATGTTTGTAATGTTTTGGTCAAATCAAGCTATCAAGTGTGTACCTTCTTTTGGCCGTCAGTATATTAAGGAGAAAACACCCATTGCAATGGACAGTCACCGCGATACCATTTTTCATATTTTGACAAACTTCCACAATTTCTTAATTTAATTAGGTTTGTTTTTGTTAAGGTTTACTCTTAGTGGATACCTGCTACGATAATTGTTGGGAACGTTAATACACTTTTCAAGACCAAAGATAGAATAAGAATTCAAATCCTTCACTAGTTATTGCACAGGAAATATTACACTCTTTTAATTCTCATTACGTTAAATCAATCAGTGAGTGAGTCTTGGTTTGTATGGGGTACGGTGTACATATAGACATAAACATTGTCAATGTCACCAACAACACATGACATCTTCCACATTGTCTTCTCAAACTGACTGGTGTACATTTCACCATGATCAGACAAAAACATCCACTCACATGTAGAAACAAATGCAACATGAGCAATATCTTCAAATGTCTTGACAAATAATGAGTGAGTGAGTATGGTTTTACGCCGCTTCTAGCAAACTGCCAGCAATATCACGGCGGGGTCGACCAGAAATGGGCTACACACATTGTACCCCTGTCGGGAATCGAACCCGGGTTTTCGGCATGACGAGCGAACGCTTTAACCACTAGGCTACCCGACCGCCCCCTAAATCAATCAAGCACTCACTCATGTGTTAATCTCTATTCGTGGGTTTTAGTTAAAAGAATATGTTGTTTTCTTTCCAAAAGCATTGCATTACAATGTGTGAATATCAGTTATGAAAAATGATGGTAAAATGGTTATTTACAACTTCATTATGACTATAGAGATACCCCAACATAAAGTTTAGTCGCATAATTGGTCTACTTTAGAGTGTACATTCTTTTGGCTGTGAACAACTGAGAATATGAAATTAAGTATAAATAAAGACACATGACTCTATATTGTCTCTTTGCATGATATCTGGCAGTTGTCTTGAATTATCAGAAGATCAGTAGATCGACCCTAATTATCATTTAAACTCCAGTTTGGACCTGGCTGTCACGCCTTTTAGCAGCATTATTATAAACAAGGTAATTGTGGATGGAATCTAATTGGTGCTGTTGGAACATGACATGCGTCCCTTTTATCGACACGAAATGAACGTTTTTCTAGTTTTTACATTTCAAAAAGCAATATGATAATATTTCACGATCTCAAGAAAAAAATATTGAGTTTGTAGATAAGTACATTACGCGTTGATGAAGGTTCATGTGATCAACCAGTTTTTCGATGCAGTTTATCAACATCAAACAGTAGTTCTGGGCACCCCCTAAGCCACAGTGTGCATTGTTTACTAGCACAAACATTTCGCAGTGATCCTTCCAATACCATAGCATTTATCAAGTAAATAATCTTCGGTGACAAGGTAACCTGTTTTGCCTCCGAGACAGTTGGAGTGAGTTGTCAATACAGTTATTATGTAAGTGCAACATAAATCAATATTGTCATTTATTTGTTAAAAAGATAACATTGATTCCATGTCGACCATAACATCAAATGCACTCATCTGCCCAAGTATGTCATGTTAAAACAGAGACAAATAATCATACATAGCGAAAATTATGCTAAACGAGATTTTAATTACATCCAATGTTAAGAAAGTATTTGCTTTGCTAATGCATTGTTAAACAATAAATTTGTTATTTAAATATATGGCGTGTTCCTTCTGTCCTCAACAGTCAAACTATTCAGAAGTTTACCATCGTCGGGGGCAGGAACAACACAACGTCATGCTGGTGCACCTTCTGATTTCTCTCAACTGGCAGTCCGTTCTTGTCTTGCGTGAGCAGGAGCTAGGTGAGACATTTTTATATGTTTTTGCATATTTGAAATGACATGTCAAAGTAAACTTGGTATTATACTGCTTCATTCTGGTATTAGATATATAACACCACTGTGTTATAACATGATTTTGCGATTGCAAACCTTTCACATTTTGGTGGTATCAACCTTCAGCGGCCTAAATGTCAATGTTATCTCATCAACATTGTGAAACATGTTATACGTCCAATTTTTATTTTCTGGAAACACATTTGTCCAGAAAATCTGCTTTGTGGCCAGTCTCGGTTAAAGGTATTTACAAAACTCAACATGCTTTTTTCATGGATATGTTCTAATGAAGGAAAAAATGAAAAACAATTGTTTCAAAACTGAAAATTTTAACTCTGTCGCCTGTTGGCGATTATATTTTGTTGGCACAATACTCATAATTTTTGGTTTTGCAAATACATAAAGGTGTGTCTACAAATGTCATGGGCCATTTTAACTTAATTCATGTTGGTAGTATCAACCTACAGTGCACTAAATGGCAATGTCCATTTGTTTTGCTCAATAAACCTGGGGAGCAGAATATATTCCAGTTGAAATAAAATGTGATCTTCTGGATACTGATAAATATGATGACGTGTGATGATGATCAAATAATGAGTGTAGGACTGATTGGCATGTCTCTGCTTCATAGTAATACTTGCTTCCTACTGATGTCGACATAATTGTTTGCAAATTGTATGAATGGGTCAAGGTTACGTCTACAATTTCACAAGTGAATAACATTTTCAGTGTCTTATTTGGATCTATGGATAGAAATGCAAAATGACGGCAGACTCTGTGCCAATCAGTACGACAACTTGGAAGATTTCGACTTTCCAATCGTGGATTTTCCCTTCATGTCGAGGAATATACCATCCGCTCTTGCTTAAGGGGTAAACATTTCTCATGTGTTTAGGTACCTCGAGCTCCCATGCAACATGTACTTAGGGTTCAAAGACACATTAGGCTCACAATTATGCTTTCAATCAAGGTTCCATAATCAGAGGCCTGGTTACGTCATTTTAAAATTGTTTATGATAGACATTCAAAGGAATTTAGTAATAATGTCCCTTTTCAACTTGAAGCACGTTGCTATCCCATGCAGGGACCTTGATGTGGACCTTTCACTCTTCCCCACACTATCTGTTACTTTAACTTTGTAGTGACAAGTGTGAGAGTGGTAGGTGCTATCGATAGAGCAGACACATGGTTATCCTTTTCGCCAACACATGACTTCATGTGATCACTTCTTATACACTGGCGAGCAAAAGGAACTACATTGTATATCAGAATCAAATTTATTAGAATTCGGATTCGAATACGAAGTAATGTTATTAATCATGTTAAACCAACAGTAGAAATGAAACGGGTGAAGCTAAAAGATCGTAAATTAAACTGAATTCCGTGTGAAATGACTTTTAACGTTATAATAAAAAAGGGACAGGAAGACTGATTACAGGATGCATGTGGGTATAAAAACAGCTAACAACATTCGGCAATGCATAATGAGTCCAGAACTCAACAGTAGCATACCATGTTTATCGGCAGAACGGCGGGCACCTTGGTTACACTTGTGCAAGAATCACCAGGTTGCTCTCAGACAGGGCAGACAGTAGATTTAGTGAGTACAGACAGACCACGTGTCTCCTTACCCATCGAAAAACGTTATTTTCATACTGTTGTAAGCCTGTTTACTGTATCCAGAATCCTGCGTCACAATGGTATTCGGGCCAATAGACCTTTCCAAGGGAAACGTCAACATCAACGTCAAAGAAAAGGAATACGGTTGAAAGTCGTGATGTTTTTTTACGAAAACAGGTTCCAGTCTTCCGAGTAAATAGTAGAGTACGGGTGTATCGACGTCGGAAGAAAGCTCTTTCGTTGTTGTACCATGTGGAGGTGGCAACATAATGATATTTGCTGGATTTGTGTTCAGGTAAAAGTGAAACTTGTGGTGATGACTCGTCTCACAGCACATCGTTACATCGACTCGGTATCGCGTCCAGTTGTGCTTCCACTCTCACGACAGAACCCACGGATCCTGTTTCAACATGACCAAATACAACATGAACGTCTTGCTCCGTCACTTTCAAAAACGTCCTGGCATGTCGCAAATTGAACACCTCTGGGGACAACTTAATCGTCAATCTAACCCTTCTGCAAACACATGCGACTTAATACAGGGACGCTAGAAAGAATGACGCCAAATACAGCATGACGAAATCCAAAGTCTAACGAACTCATCTCGTCTTTTTTGACAAACCTGACATGTAGTTTGGTACAGCTTCTTTTGCTCATCAGTGTATTTTTCATCACTTTTTTGCATTTTACGACCTATCGAATCTGTTTCAGTATTATTCAGCATGAGTATTATGTTGCTATGAAGTTTTGAATAATTGTATTTATGGCCCACGCGGTAGTCACATACTACTGGTACAAAAAAGGTATCCTATCTTGCTGGCTTTCAAATGGCGAATACTTGCCTTTTCTGCGATTGACTGCTCAGACATGTATTTGACGGAATGTTTGAATTTACTACTGTAGCAAGAAACCTTCATTTTAGGGGGACAATATAGACAATCAATATATACTATATATAGAAACAACCAATCTAATATCAGCTCAGCCAAACCTTTGTTAGATATCAGATTTAGTGTTCATGTGTGTATCTGGTAACGTTTCGTTAATTATCTAATGTTTACAAAACTGTTACATATCACTGTGACATCGTGTCGGGTGCAATGTCGATATTATATTTCAGAACTCTAGGACATCATAAATGAGGTCAATGTAATGTATAAGTTCCAATTAAACTATCTGAACGTGTATATTTTGAAAAGTGTCACTTTTACTACTAGTGAATTCAGGAAATGCATGTGTGTGAATTTGCCAATTTATGGATAGGAACTTCGATATTATAACACACTTAAATGTTATGTATATGTTATGTTCGTCAGGCCAATTCGGGGGCACAGGTGGCGCTGTCGTCTACGGCGCCGCAATTCGCTTTGCACAGTTGCGTCCCTTGGTGCACACCAGAATCCTATGACTGTGGGTTTGAATCCTGGTTCGCCCCGATTATATTTCTAGGTTTTTCAGCACCATACCCGTGCTCGGGGCTTTCACCAAAGTGGTAAATGTCTGAGACCTGCGTAACTTTGTGCTTTCCTCCCACATTAAGCTGACATGCCGTGCCATTACTGGACTGCTGTTCACCGAGTCGTTTAACCAAACTCGTTCATTCACAAGACCATTTCTGGAACGTCCCAGATACCTTGTTACCAGATATCCATGCATGTGCTGTGAGTGGTGTTATTCATGCCCTACATACTAAGCTTGCATAATGTGTTTCAGACATACACTTCGGCCACTCGTTGGAAACATCAGGTATTTCCAGTGTGGACTATGACATCAGCTCCTTCACAGAAGAGCACCTGCTGACAATCCTTGGAGATGTGGAGAAGCTGCTCCAGCCTCGCCTCAATGTTCTTCTCCTCTGTGACGTCACTACCACTGTTTCACTCTTACGTCAGTTGGTACGTCAAACAATATGTATATATCTACGAATCCTTAAGAAAATAAATTCCCAGCAAGATGTCCACGCAAATGGTTGAAAAGTTGAGTAAGTTGTGTTTGACGCCAAAGATCCCTGATCGAGAATCCATTTCCCCTTTGGGTTCTATTTCATGTTCGTCTTGCTATTTGTATTTTGTCAGCACCATGTTCATGGGTTTCACCAAAGGTATACTTGAACATCTATGATCAGAATCACTGTTGGTTTTCCACTCACATGAAGTTGACCCGATGTACTAAATTGTGAAAAAGGATTTGTGGTGTATTATCTTTTACTTTAACTCCATTAGATGACCATATCTATCAAAGAGAACATGATATTTTATATGTTCTATGTGACATACATTAATTTCACCACTGCGGTGTATATTCAAGATTCTCCTTTCGAATTCAGTGATGTCTGAACACTATCTAGGTCACCATTAGCTTTCACAAAAGTAAGTGAGTGAGTTGGTTTACAAGGCAAACAGGAACACACCAGTCCCCTGGTTTAGAGCAATCAGTGTATGGTTGTATGACGGCATTATATACGTAGCATGGGAAAAATTGGCAGGTATGAAATGTACTGTAATGTCATTCCTCAACCTCTATTACTTTAATAAGGTTAAATGTAACGTTATCACAAAAGAGGAAAAAATGAGGTACCAAAAAGTTGTGGGTACTGTGATCATTATATTTTGACACTCACAAACGTAAGGACAGAACTATTACAGTTGGTAAAACGTGGTCGTCTATGTGTTTTCTTTTTATATATAAGTTTCTTGGCACGATAAAGCCGTTTACGGATAAATATGCAAATACAAAAGTTCAGGAGGTACAACTGTCCTTTATCCGCCGATTGAGTCGCATTGAGACAAATTACCGGGATAATTGGTACCATTATCAAAATAATACCGGATCAGTTTCTAACAAGGATGTAGCTGAGATATTTTACACTTTGGAAACATTGCAAAAACCAACGTTAGTGAGGAAGCTAGTAGGATCAGTTTCCATGTGTGTAGGCTTCATCGGCTCGTGGTCTGTTCAAGAATTCAACAGTTGGATTTGGCCGAAATATTTTATCTTGTTTTATGTTGTCACTGTGCGGGACATTTGACTGCAAATAAGACTATGAGTGAGTGAGTGAGTGAGTATGGTTTTACGCCGCTTTTAGCAATATTCCAGCAATATCACGGCGGGGGACACCAGAAATGGGCTTCACACATTGTACCCATGTCGGGAATCGAACCCGGGTCTTCGGCGTGACGAGCGAACGCTTTAACCACTAGGCTACCCGACCGCCCCTATAAGACTATGAAGGTCATGCAGACGCTAAACACACGTGGTGATGACTCGAGCAGCTTCCCTTTGGCAAAGGCAATTACTATGGAGGGCTGACCAACTGATCTCTGACATTGAAACATTGTGTGTAGCCAATTGTCTTTTTGACTTTATGGTAGTTACGCCAGTGTCTAACAAACTTTCCATGTCAATGTATCGCTTGTAAGATATGACAATACTTGTTTCGCTTGTGTGTTTTGGAATTGTACACATCCTATAGTGGGAATGAACACTAAGTCTCGCTAAATACTATGGTTCTTCCCAATACAGGCTATTTACCATCCCTTAAACACGTGATAAACCTTTTTTTCGCCAGTCTCGATTCTGTGGAACAAGATCAAACACATCGGTTGACTTGTGTCACGTCTCACGGGTGCTGGTTGTCGGGACATCAGATGACTTACCCGTACTCCTGGACAGCAACATTCAGGTGGAGAACGTGGCGTTGCTGGAACTGCCTTCACGTCATCAGGTGAACTATTGTTTCAACATGTTTGTTTGGTGGACATTAACCTCAACACATAGAATGTTAACAACAAAACAACCCGGAGCTTTGCCAGTGATGTTTCCCTGGTCCCTAGTATTTAACAAGCATGAAATACTCATATCCCCCGCCCATATGACATGTCCGGTTGTGTGCAATGTATTAGCTCCTGTGAACTATGTTCACTGGACCTTTTTGTAAATGGCCTAATTGCAGCACTAAAAATGTTATTACTGGTTTATGGTAGAATAAGTAACTGTATTTGTAATGAGTTCTGTTATTTCTTAAACAATAATCAGAGAAGTTCTTACTTTACTTAGAGATCATTGAGAGCAGGGGTCACCATGAGGTGTACTGAGAAGTAGAGCACCAATCATCTGATGATCTGAGTAGTATACTGGAGTCTGGAATGCTACTGCACTGGCATGATCAGTAACCAAGTCCAGTGTCGCTCCAAGACTACAAGTTTCAGTTTTTCACTCAGATTACAGTTGAAATCCCCAGTAACTAGGACATGTTCACATTCATGCTGCTTGGAGAGATCCTAAAGTTTCTGCATGAAATCAGAAAGTGAATGCGACAACCGTGACACTTTTGGGGGAACATACACACAAGCAATGCAGAACTTGCCAACAAGAAAGGAAATGTATTCAATACTGATGACATTACATCACATAGCTGGATACTGTTCTTGAAACTTGTTGAAACATACCATGGGTAGTGTCTCCTGGATAGACTTGATATCCTGGCAGGTCTCTTTCACTGTAATCATGAACCACTCCAACAAACTTATCCTTCTTCACATCTTCGAAATGAGCACTGAGGGATCGAACAATCAAGTAAGCTACATTGAGTCCATCACCATGAATGTTCTCTTCAGGGTGTGTCCAGGTGAACAGTCTTTCATTCCGCAATCTAGTCATCTCATCCAATGTTTTTTTTGTTTTCTACAATTTATGTGCCAAGTTTGGTGAAAAAATATTTTACGGTTTCAAGATCTGCTCTGGAAAACGAGGACTAACTGCCATTTTCAGTCAAAGTCGTTGCCAGGGAAACGCGAAAAATATTTTTTTCTAAAAGCCTACACAATCAAATGCACCGGTTTTCCACTAGACCTATTTATGTGCCAAGTTTGGTTATGATATCTCTATTGGTTTTTGTGTTCTGCTCCGGAAAACGAGGACTACCGCCATTTTCAGTCTAATTCGAAGTCGTTGCCAGGGAAACTCGAATTTCATTTTTTTTAAATCCACTAGTATCAAAAGGCACCAGTTTTCCACTAGACCTATTATTATGCCAAGTTTCGCTGAGATATCTCTCATGTTTTTTGTGTTCTGCTCCGGAAACGAAATGTGACGGACGGACCGACAGACGGAAGGATGGAAGGACGGCACCGGATAATAAAGTCTGGGGTAGCTACTGAAGCACAGAAAGTCAGTGGTTGAACTGCGCCATGAGGAGTCAGATGACACATAATCTCTAATGTTACATATGAAGGGGGTTCTTCTCTGGAAATCTCAAACAATTTTCATCTTAATTAGATCAATGTTAAACTCACGCATGTCTGTTTGATCTCAGGGACATTCTTCAAAGGCAAGGATGTGGACACTTATGTTTCACCCCAATGGACGTGCTTTCACAGACGTGGCTCTCTCCAATGTGACAGTGACAAATCCTACTGACGTGTTTCCCAATTTAAAGTTCGGCTACAATGGTCGGCAACTTACTGTCGTTATGAAGGTAGGTAGCTACAAATATTATTTCCTTTGTAAATGGAAATTGAATTTAATGTCAGTGGCATTTACTGGATGTTAGTAATGTAAGAACCATGTTTCACAAGGCAAACAATACAGAAGAGCACACATTGCCATGTACCACCTATCTGTAGTCCGAGGTTCTTCCTGTCATGAACGGAAGTAATCCACAAAGCATTATACGTTTGCTTGCTCTTTTTGTTGAGACATATTTCCCAAAGGGATGTATATAAACTGACGTTACCAACGATATTTCTAGGATAAAATATGACCAACACAATTTGAAGCAGCAATAACAATTGTATTGTTGAAATTCATCATTCAGAACAGTAAAATGCGAATTTACTAATTCAACAACAAAGTCCTTGACCTCCAACAGGGACATTTCTTGACAAGGGGTCATTCGTCCAGTATTCGATCAACAACATTGGTTACAACTTTTAGGTGACGACGGCCCAGACCGTTCAATACGGGATATGACCTCCATGAGCGGCAATGCATCTTCGAATGCGGCGTCGAACCGAGTAGACAAGCGTCCTCACATCGACTGCAGGTATCCGATTCCATTCCTCACGGAGGGCAACGGTAGAATAGGTCTTCAGCAACCCATGCTTGCCGTAAAAGGCGACTATGCTTGTCGTAAAAGGCGACTAACGGGATCGGGTGGTCAGGCTCGCTGACTTGGTTGATGCATGTCATCAATCCCAATTGCGTGGATCGATGCTCATGATGTAAATCACTGGATTGTCTGGTCCAGACTCGATTATTTACAGACCGCCGTCATATAGCTGGAATATTGCTGAGTGCGGCGTAAAACAACAAACAAACAAACAAAACGGAGGGCAACGATCAACGCTTGTCTCGTGAAGGGAGGATGTTGACGTTTCTGAAGACGACGCCCCAGCTGGTCCCAGAGATTTTCTATGGGTGACAGATCTGGTGATCGAGCTGGCCACGGCAGGACAGTCACGTTGTTGGCGTTGAGGAAGTCTCTAGTAATACGGGCTTTATGGGGTGTGGCGTTATCTTGTTGGAACACCGTCCGTTGTTGACGCTGGATGAAAGGAAGAACCACTGGCCGTAAGCTATTGTCAATGTAGCGTTGTGCTGTCAGATTGCCTTCGATTATGACAAGTTCCGTCTTCTCGTCTCCGCAAATGCCGCCCCAGACAATCACACTTCCGCCCCCGTAAGGTTCCACCTCCTGGACACAACAAGGAGCCGTACGTTCACCACGTCGTCGATAAATTCGCGTCCGCCCATCAAGTTTGAAGAGTTGGAACCTGCTCTCGTCACTAAACAGCACTCGCCGCCATTCCCTTTGTTGCCATCGCTGAGTTTGCCTGCACCACGTCAATCTGGCACGTCGATGTTGACGGGTCAAGGTCATGCCCTTGAAAGGGCAATAAGCCGGGAGACCCTAATGTCGTAGTCGTCTGGTCACTGTTTGTCTGCTGACCAGATGTCCTAAGCTGTTGGCAGCTGATGACGTCACAGTAAGATTTCTGTTCCTCAGATGAAGTACCCGTCAAAAGCGGTCATCCTGCGGGGTCGTGACCTTTGGTCTGCCACTCCGTGGTCTGTCCGCGGTTCTGCCAGTCTGTCGGAGACGTTGGAAAGAATGTTTTAAAAAATTGCTGAAAAACACCAATATCTCCCAAAATCCGCAAAGCACGTGCAAAGAACGACAGAGAACATGAAGGCTGTATTCGTGAGATGTGTTCTTTACTGTTTTTGAACAGGTTGGCATCTTTGTTTCAAAGTGGCAAATCAGTTAATGTTGGTAACGTTTCTTTTGGCCCTCAGTTTAGTTTCAAAACGTTTACACTTAGTCTATCCCTCACCTATAAAATAGTTAAATGTGTACATGTTTAACATGCTTAAATAAGTATGACTGTAACATCTAACCACCTCTCGATCAAATCGTCTTCTCCGGATCATTGTGTGTGATTTGTTCAAACGTGCCCCTTAGTTCATACAATTTACTGACCCGTGAAGATCCAGGGTAGAATAGGTCTTCAGCAACCCATGCTTGCCGTAAAAGGTGACTATGCTTGTCCTAAAAGGCGACTAACGGGATCGGGTGGCCAGGCTCGCTGACTTGGTTGATGCATGTCATCGATCCCACTTGCGTGGATCGATGCTCATGATATCAATCACTGGATTGTCTGGTCCAGACTCGATTATTTACAGACCGCCGTCATATAGCTGGAATATTGCTGAGTGCGGCGTTAAACAACAAACCAACCAATCATACAATTTACTAGTACCTGTCATTGATAATGTGAACGTGCCCGACCTTTGTAATTGCAGGACAACAGCTTTGGCTATGGCTACATAACAGTGAATAAGCGGAGGGTGTTTGGGTTTCCATTCTGTGTACTGAACCTGCTGGCAGAAGCTATGAACTTCAGGTGAGTTTTTGACTGTTGTATGTTGAAACCTTTGTTGCACATAGCAAATGATATCTGTAGCATAAAAATGCAACGCTGATCCCCTCACCTACAAAAATGTTAAATGTTTAAATAATATGCTTAAACAATTAGGATTGTAACACCTGACCACCTCTCCATCGAACCATCTCCTCTAGATCATCGTCATGTTTCTATGTGATTTGTTACAACGTGCTCGTTAGTTCTTATGGTGTACCTGTCATTTCTGTGTGTGTGAGTTAAAATTTAACGTCACATCTACAATATTTCAGCCATTTCGTGACAAGAGAAGGTTAAACATTAAAAACCAATATGTTGAGACTGTTCTAAAACCTGTCGCCAAAGGACAGTAGACATAACTAGATTATCACAGATTGTATCTAAAAGTAGTCTATGAGTATGTAAAAGAATAAACTATGATTCAACAAAACAATATGAAAATGGGCAAAAGCTCCCCAGCAAACAAAGTTTGGCCACTATACTAAAGTACGGTCGGAAATGCTGTTTACCAGTATAAAAGGATAAAAATGTTCACACTGTTGCTATTGTAATATCAAGTAACTACTGATCGATCTACCTGTGGTTTGAAGTATTTCAGTCTTATTGACAATTTGACAGGAGAAAAATCCGAACGAAACCAATAAGTACACATTTATTCTAAGTCCAATGATCGAAGTCTAAAACGGACTATAGAAATATGCGCACTTGATTCCGTAATAATGAAAATAATTTAATCTCCATAAAACATCGAATCCACACACAAAAAATCATTTAGAGAAAATTCTAGATGTACGTCTTCTAAAATAACAAAATGAGGCTGCATTTGTTTTGTCAACCCTGCTCCCATCATACTTGTTACATTACACTTGCATAGCCATAGCCACGGTACACGACATGGGGTCTGTACCAGGAAAGTTCTTTACACTTTAGAGAGATAGGGGGAAACCATTTATTTCTTACCGAAGTGCCCAAGCTATGGGGATTTCAATTCATACCAACAAGTCTACTGTATGATAATTAAAATAAAGAAGGTATAGGGGTGATCTCAACAACAAAACCGGGACTTGAAAGGATACTAGACAGCTTTGATACAGAGTGATTAGGCGCATAGTGTACAAGCCTTATAAGCAGAAGGTCCCCCCTGGCGATGACCGAGCAGTTTTCAGGGTAAAATATTCCATCCTGTCTGAAGTCACATTAAGACCGCCTCCGTGGTCTAGTGGTAGAGCGTCCGCCCGGAGAGCGGAAGGTCCGGGGTTCGATCCCCGACCGCGTCATACCAAAAGACGTTAAAAGATGGTACTTGTTGTTACCCTGTCTGGCGCTCGGCATTAAGGGGTTAAAACAAGGACTGGTCGGTTCGGAGTCAGTATACTATGTCTGAGTGGGGTATTCATGTTAAACTGCGGCATGGTATCTCAGTGAGCTCGCACTATAAATCGGCATCAGTCCGGACTAGTACAAGCAGCCACACAAACACACACACGTACATACACGTCGCTATATAAGTGCAATTTTCTTGGACGCGACGTTAAACCCCATTTCACCTTACCTCACATTATCTCCGCACCATTCCTAACTATGGCAGTCAGGTTATTTACCTTGTTGAAACCTGGGTGAATAAGAATCATTCTACTGACAACGTGTGGCCAACGTCAGATAATTTGTGTCATTGTTTTGCACTCCCGAACCCGTGATCTGGGGCTTATTGATGGATGTGAAAAAGAAAACTGGTGATTCTCAGAAGGAAATGAAAGGAGACTGGTTGGAACATCAGCTACTGCCCAGTCTTAACACTCTCCATGTCATGGACAACGCCAGTTAATAAAATGTCGGCAGCCAGATACTGTCTCGCCGACTATGAGTAGTCTGAAGGCGACGATACAGGAATATCTAACATCTTGCAACGTCGACTTCAGACCATCTGAAACGAAAGTTCAACTCATGGAGAATATTCGCCTGAATATAAAACCTAAAAACCAGTAAAGTACAAGACAGATGTCCTGGCGGCACAACACGGTCAAATAGCGAAAATAACGTCAGATTCCGGTCAATTTAATTTGTTTTTGCATTTATGATAAGGCCTTACTGTTTTGTTTACACATGACGACAACGACCTTTCAATTTGACAACAACATACCTGTACCGGAAAACTAGTACAGGAAAATAGGTTTCACAGTGCTATGACATCATTGTAAAAGTGTAACCTTGACTCTTTTTTCAGTTGCTACATAGACAGTACTGAACTGTTTGTTTCGTTGATTCATCCTCTTATTACTTCTGTAGTAAAAAAAGAATATATAGAGGATATTTAATGTGTTTTCTCAAATACCACTTTTATCTCATCGAGTGAAGTGGGGAGAGTCTAATATTTTGTGACGCAGTCACTCGTGAAAATATTAGACTCTCCCCAATTCACGAGATGAGATAAAAGTGGTATTTGAGAAAACACATTGAATTTTCTATTAATTATAAACATGTACATGTTTTATTTTTATTATTTGCAATTTATATATTTTTTCGAAAACAGTGTCTGATAAATTACTAAGTTCTCCCTGTCGCCCCTTTACCACCGCCGTATAAAGGGTTTTGCGCTAAGAATATAGTTCGTGAATAAAACTAGCCCTGTTAATATATGTTACGCGAAATATAGTATTTCATATCGAGTATTAAGTTCCGTGGACATTTTTGTTTGTCAAAATCAAACATTCCTGTTTAAAATGGATAACTCTTTAATGTTTTGATTCAGGAGAAAGTAGTTCCGGCACCTTGTTTATATCAGTCACTAGTGACTGATATAACTTTTCTATATCAGTCACTAGTGACTGATAACTTGATCTATCGTCACTGATAAATTCCAGTATTTCATTCATATGTTTATAATAAAACACTCGCTTCATTTGATATGTAGTTGTGTCCCTCGTGAAAATTGTTTCACTCGAGAAATTTGGTATTAAATTGAAACTTGTGTAATGTCATATAGTTATAATTTACCCATGTATCTAAATACTTTAACGTCACTTTTGATTATCAAAAAGCATATCAAGTTTTATCACTTCAATTTAACGTTACTTTTGATTATCAAAAAGCATGTCAAGTTTTATCTCTTCAATTTAACGTTACTTTTGATTATCAAAAAGCATGTCAAGTTTTATCACTTCAATTTAACGTTACTTTTGATTATCAAAAAGCATGTCAAGTTTTATCTCTTCAATTTAACGTTACTTTTGATTGTCAAAAAGCATGTCAAGTTTTATCACTTCAATTTAACGTTACTTTTGATTGTCAAAAAGCATATCAAGTTTTATCACTTCAATTTAACGTTACTTATGATTGTCAAAAAGCATATCAAGTTTTATCTCTTCAATTTAACGTTACTTTTGATTGTCAAAAAGCATGTCAAGTTTTATCACTTCAATTTAACGTTACTTTTGATTGTCAAAAAGCATGTCAAGTTTTATCACTTCAATTTAACGTTACTTTTGATTATTCAAAGGCATGTCAAGTTTTATCACAAAATATATGGTGCATTTATTTAAAAGTTACAGGGTTATACCACCAAGAGAAGATGAATGGGGCCAGAACATCAATGGCTCGTGGACAGGACTCTTAGGGATGTTGCAGAGAAGGGTAAGGGTTGGCACATAGTAACAGACTCCAGGTCTGGACGGAATAGATCCCTAGTTCAGTTGATTTAAATGTGTGTCTTGTTGATTTTGTATTATTGTTTCCTATTGACACAGGTTGTTAATCATGCTGTACAGACTCAATTAACTACAGGCAGCTGTGTCCACATATCCTCCCAATGCGCAGCTGTTTCTGTACACAGATATGTGGCACAAACCATTTGGCATGGGGTGGTAACTGAAGCATCATAGACTCACATATAATAATATTTTGTATTCCTGAAATATGCTAGTTATGACACTCGGTTAATAATAACCCCTGTATTCTTTTCCCTAATACCTAATGACGTTATTCCTGTCATTTTGGCAATCACAGATGAGCAAGATATTTGAGTGAGTGAGTGAGTATGGTTTTACGCCGCTTTTAGCAATATTCCAGCAATATCACGGCGGGGGACACCAGAAATGGGCTTCACACATTGTGCCCATGTCGGGAATCGAACCCGGGTCTTCGGCGTGACGAGCGAACGCTTTAACCACTAGGCTACCCGACCGCCCGCAAGATATTTGAATTATTTTCATGAATGAATATATTGTATAAACAATATGTTTATGTGGATTGTAGGACAAATAATTGATCGTTGCAGGAAGCTGACTTGGCACCGGACATCTTAGCTATCCACAGTGACCGCGTTGCAGTTGCCGACTTCATCCTGCCCCCAGTAGCTGAAACTAGACAAGTGATCATATACAAGAAAGAGGATGTTGTTGACGAGGATAATCTCCTGACACTTCTACGTCCTTTCCAACCTCACGTGTATATTATGTTTGGCGTGACTCTGATTACATGTATGATCTTCCTGTCTTCCTTAATTTTCGTTCATTATAAGGATGAGTTCCATTCCAGAAAGTGTCCAACGGGCGCCTGGACAATGCAAACCATGGCACGAACAACATTTGAAATTCTTGGGGCCACTTTAAAGCAAGGTGAGAAAATATGATATTGTCAAAACCTTTGGTTGCCATTAATTATTTGTTTTCCTTTTTTATGAAGTGTTCATATTGTTTGTTTCTGATTTAACTTGTTTAAATGATAAAAGTTTAATCAGAGCTTATTGTAAACTTAGAATTTCATTGCATAATTTTAATGTAAATATATGTCGCAGGTCCAAAGACGGTGATATTGTGAACTCTACTTGTACAAACTATTCATCCGGAGAAGTAGATGTCGATGAATCTAGATGAATACCATGTCTTACTTATATGTGAAACGTATTCCCATTTAAGGTATAAATATCTCCCCATGTTACAAGGTACTTTTAAAGACCGTCAGTTAAAGATAAATCTGCTAAACTCTGAAAATCCTGATATGATCCATGCTGTTTCTGTATTCTTGTATTCTGTATAAAATGAGGAATGTGTAACTTGATTGAAAATCTGATCATGTACATCACGTGACAATGTTAATATCCAATCTGCATTGTACTATGGGCCATGATGCCTAAAATACTGAATAAACTGTCTGTCTGTCTGTTTCTGATGTGGGGCGGGGGATATATAAATCAGAGTTCGTCCGCCCGTCCGTCAATCCGTATGCTTTACAACGGGGACAAATATTCTCAAAAACTATTTAAGTTTACACCCTGATAATACTGGTGATGGTCTCAAATGAATTAGAAAATTTGTGTCTTCAATTCTTTCAATAGCTGGGAATAGTGATAACGCTGTTGTTTGTTGTCATGGTGTCTGTTGCGTTTACCTTGCTGAAGTGAACCCCAGTGAACGGTAAAGTGTTAAAATACTACGGGAAAGAACATTTATGCATTTATAAAGACACAAGGGCACTAGGTAATGTTCCCTGTGATAATTAGGACCGGGACGTTCATGGTATGATACGAAATGTTAGTTATATATAATGTTTTGCATATAGGATCAACCGCAAGGTCAACACATGACTCTGAGAGAATCTTTGTTGCGGCATGGTGGATGTTTACAATTATTATCTCTGCTGTCTACTGTGGGACCATCATGACTACATTTGCTGTAAAATTAGAAACCCCACCATTTTCTAACATGGCTGAGTTGGCAGCCAGAGAAGACTACAAAATAGGCTACGATGCATCAAGCGTCATTGAAAACCATTTTCGGGTAAGTTAAACTACACTGATAATGTTTCGAAACGTCAACGATTGAGGTGCAGTCATATTTCCATACTTTGTGTACTATTTTTGGCACACAATAAAGAAATGATATCAAAGCAAATCTTCTTTACAATTAATTTCAGAATTCAAAGCAGACCGATATCATCAGAATCAAGCAAAGAGTTCAAGATTTATCTGCCAGAGACCCCAATGTATTAAGCAGCAATGGCACCAAGCAACTGCAAAAAGTCTTGGAGGGAAAATATGCTTATATCACAAGCTCATTGATTACAGTAGTAAGCAATGGGAACTGCAAACTTAAAGCTATTGACACCAAATATGGAAGGGCTTTCGTTGCTTTTCATCTTCCAAAGTGGTCCCCTTTCAAACAAGAGTTCCAAAAAAGGTATGTGTCTATAGACGTACCTATTTGGGAAAATTACGACAGGAAGGAGTCAATTGTTGACTGTTAAGTAAGTTTTGTAGATATTGTTCTGAATATTTAATCAGAGTATATTTTTTTCGGAGTGACTGAGTTTTCCTCCACTTTGGACTGAGCTTTGAAAATTTGAATGGAATTAAAATAAAGGCCTCCTCTTGAATTAAAATGTTTAATCTTGTCATCATCAGAATGTCCCTTCTCAGCGACAGTGGCATCCTGAAGCGAACCTACCAAGAATGGTTTCCATCCATTGAAGATGACGGATGTCCAGTAGAGGCCTACCCTAAACCCATGTCACTGATCAAGATCCAGAGTATCTTCTTTGCAGTGGGAGCGGGACTGGTCTGTAGTTCCATGATCCTGGCGGCGGAGATTGTTTGGAACAAGATGAAACAAAAACTCTGTCAAAGATAAATGGGTTTGCATGCAGCAGTCATCTTTTTGTCAAAGTGGTTGAAGGGAAAGGGGAAAGCAATGAATTAGTTACAGATGAAGGTCATAACACCTTGTGAGTTCCTCAGATGTCAAGGCTATTAGTTGTCAGCACAACACGGTCAAGATCTACATCTACGACCTTCATTCCTCGAGACCGATTTGTGTTCCAAGGTCACGGTTGCTGAAAACATTCACAACATTTTTTTTAGAAATACGTTGGAAAGATATATGTGATCTTTATAGATTTGTCAATGTGTGATCTGCTTTAATTTCTTTTTATAACATTACATGTTGTTTTATAAACCTTTCAGCAGGACTATTAGAAAATATTCTATAGTCATTTAGAATAAAGTCATGAAACGTTTTATTGATAACAGCGACTGTTTTGTTTACAAAACGAAGACCAGTGTATCAGTAATTTCAGTGTTTCCACTGAATACGTTCTGTCAAAACTCCTGCTCTGATATGGACTTAGCAAGATAGATTCTAACGTTTTATGTACATATAAAAAGTATTTATGATTTGTTTTAGTTTTTGTAATTTGTTATTTATTATCTAGATCATAACTATTTTATTTTGTCCATTGGGACAGGTTTATGTCCAAACAAGGCTGAGATAGGTTCACAGAATAACTGTCCTTAAGCTGACCCTTACACCAGGCGGGCTATCAGAAGTATTTACCACATATGAAAGTTTGTTTCGAAACAAAAAGGATCAAAACAACAATGACATTGCAATGTCTGATTAGGGCAGTTGTCTTTGTGTGTGTGAAGGGTGGGGTACAACGGTACCTACCTAACCCCCAGAGGGACACTTATCCAACCCTGTATGAATGGTGTCATCACTGTCCCATTGTGATGAAGGGTGAAGGAAACACTGAAGACAGGACAGGAGCTATTAATCTGGCGCCTTCTGTCACAGCGTTCTTTATGTTTGGATCATCTTCTGATGAGGTTTGCATAATCTGTTCAAATTGTAGTTGATCATCTAAAGATAACAAATTACTATTGTAGCTTGCCCAAAGCCCCAACACATCAAACGGTGTACAAGTAGTATGCCACACATAGTCAACTGCATGGACGCTCCTATCAGGTAAAATAAACTACTTATAGCATTCATCATCTATTCTATGACATTCCCTTGCATTAAAGTACAGCGAGGGAATGCTACAAATACATTGTTACCATGGCAGATAGGAGCGGCCGTACAGTGTGGTCTTTGTGGTCATCACATCAGCACCTCATTGGCCTCTAAACGAATCATATTCCGACCCTGTATGATTGGTGTTGTTATTGTTCTACAATGTTTCAGGTGTCGGATTCATCTGATAAGCTGAATAACAGTTAGAATAAATGATACAATATGCAAGCTTTATGAAAGTGATAAACATTTCAACAATAGATCAGGGATTTCAAATTCACACTTGGCTTTACGCGATTTCATGGATTGAGGAAACAATGAACATCAGTGCTTGTGATGTCCATTAATCACAAGACCCAAGAAGATCTGGGGTAGAATAGGTCTTCAGCAAGGCATGTGAAATGACACCAAAGGCTGGATTTGTTGGAATATTGCTCGACATGAAGGGAAAGTTGATTACTGGAAAGTTGAAGTCATCTAACTCATTAAACCCAACACATTTACTTCGTCTCTGTAATCCGGTACTGTTTGTGATTAATGTTTGTTTGTTGTTTAACGCTGCACTCAGCAATATTCCAGCTATATGACGGCGGTCTGTAAATAATCGAGTCTGGACCAGACAATCCAGTGATTGACATCATGAGCATCGATCCACGCAATTGGGATCGATGACATGTATCAACCAAGTCAGCGAGCCTGACCACCCAATTCCTTTAGTCGCCTTTTACGACAAGCATAGTCGCCTTTTAGTATGCAAACTCAATGATGAATATATATGAAGTTCATGCGGCCTATGTCCATCTCCAGAATGTCTACCAGGGCGCGCTGTGCGTGATGGACGGCTACACACTTCGGGACAGTGATGGATTTGGATTACACTAACCTGGGCCCATGGAACTCAGACTACCTATTCCTATGTATACCTGCCACAATAAACTGCTGGCGATTATTGGAGCAATGGTTTTACTTCACAGAATGGGGTGGAACAAGAAATCATTCTATCACCCATATCTATATATCATCATACAAACATGGATGTACCTTGGCCCCTATTGTTCTTGGCATTGATTGGCTGTAATAAAAAGCTAGGAAACAAAAAAGTGTCCAACCATGTGAACTTCAGGAAGTGAAACAACCTGTAGGGAATTCCCCTGGTAATTGGTGCAGGAAGCAGTAGGGAATTGCCCTGGTAATGGGTGCAGGAAGCGGTAGGGAATTCTCCTGTGAATGGGTGCAGGAAGCAGTAGGGAATTCCCCTGGTAATGGGCACAAGAAGCAGTAGGGAATTCCCCTGGGAATGGGTGCAGGAAGCAGTAGGAAATTCTCCTGTGAATGGGCACAAGAAGCAGTAGGGAATTCCCCTGGGAATGGGTGCAGGAAGCAGTAGGGAATTCTCCTGTGAATGGGCACAAGAAGCAGTAGGGAATTCCCCTGGGAATGGGTGCAGGGAGCAGTAGGGAATTCACCTGGTAATGGGTGCAGGAAGCAGTAGGGAATTCCCCTGGTAATGGGTGCAGGAAGCAGTAGGGAATTCCCCTTGGAATGGGTGCAGGAAGCAGTAGGAAATTCTCCTTTGAATGGGCACAAGAAGCAGTAGGGAATTCCCCTGGGAATGGGTGCAGGAAGCAGTAGAGAATTCCCCAGGCATTGGGTGCAGGAAGCAGTAGAGAATTCCCCTGGGAATGGGTGCAGGAAGCAGTAGGGAATTCCCCTGGGAATGGGTGCAGGAAGCAGTAAAGAATTCCCCTGGGAATAGGTGCAGGAAGCAGTTGAACAGTTTTAGAGCATTCTGAAAAAATAAATATTGAAATTCAGGAACACAAGTCCCATCATTGAGAACAGATGTACTGTGACACACAACATGAAAACTCTTCTACAAAATAAAATATTTATTTTGCACATGACATGAGAGGTGATTGTACAATGACAATGAATACAATATATTCAGTGCAGCGCTGGTGTAACAAGACGCTGACTGTGACCCCCAACAAGTCACTTCCTACTGCAGGGCAGGGATAGACACGGCCACTAGTCCGAGACTAGGAACAATCTAGACCTATCAGTTGTTTTATCCCCAAATCTTGTTTTTTTGCATAGCCAATAGTCCGAAATGAGCTGTGGACTTGTTGGATACCAATGGCATCCACACCTGCCATTTAACTCCCTTGCCTCGGGACGATGACCCCGGCTGGAGGCTATTTAGTCTGTCTCACACTCCATGAACCATAGTTTTTTCCCTTCCGCCCAGCCTTTTCTGTAATGCTATAGCCTTAAATGAAGCAAGTCTAGATTTTCCTCAGGTTCAGGAATCTCACTGGGGCTCCATTTAATTTAATTTAGTTGTTTGTTTCTTTGAAAATACTGTTTTTCAGAGACGCAGCATTAGTCTAGCGGGGCTGCAACCAGTGTTTGAAATCAAAGAAATTGCCAGGCTGCCATCAGGACCTACAGACTTTAGAAGCTGTGGGCCCTGACCAAACTCTTTGGGCTGATTGTGACAAATACAATCGACATGTGAATTTACTGCAGGCCAAAAGGAGCCATACAAATGTCTGGGTAAGAATATAGGTCCCCAGCAACCCATGCTTGTCACATACTTGATGGATCAGATGGTCAGACTCGATGACTTGGCTGATGCATGTCACTGTATCCCAACTGCGTTGATCAATGTTCATGATGTCAATCACTAGATTATCTGGTCCAGCTTGATGATTTACACACGATGTCATATGGCTCTACCGCAAGCATAAGATGATCGTGACCTATATTCTAACCCAAAATCCCAACGGGTCTGCACACCTTGTCAAAAGTAACATTCGGTTGGTTTTGCATGGGCAAAAGTGTAATTCACAACTTCAAGGTATTTTCCCCCTCCACAATGGTGGCTTATAATGGTTTGTTGGCTTAAAATGGTTGGTTGGCTTATAATGGTTGGTCTACCTGACTGACAAGTCAGCTGGTCTTACAGAAAGATACACAGGTGGAACAAACATACAGCATAGACATAGTTATAAAAATAGCACAGTTGAAGTTTGTTGAATTCAATAAATTGTTTAATGTGATGTACCTTCAAAATCCTGGAACTGCAAATAACTCGACATATTTTTATAGTCCCAGTACTTTAGAGTTTCACTGTATATCTACTTGATTTGATAGGTGAGTATGGTTTTACGACGCTTTTAGCAATATTCCATCACGGCAGGGAACACCAGAAATGGCCTTCACACATTGTACCCATGTGGGGAATCTAATCCGGCCTTTGGCATGATGAGCAAAAGCTTTAACCACTAGGCTACCCAGTTGCCCCTGATTTGGTAGTAATTTAGGAACATGATACAGCTTGATAAGCTAACATCTTGCTGATTTTTTACAATATTTCAGAGCTGAAACTCGCAAAGTTTTCAAAGCTTTCTTGCTAATGCACTTTGGTACCAGATGCATGTAATATAAACCATCTGTTCACCATTCGCAACTTGTGGAATCCGAGACCATCATCTGGACACATCCACAGAAAGTGTTCTCACAAACCACCCTGCATCTCCGACACCCACAGCTTAAATGTCCGATCATAGGAACACGTGGCGATGTACTTGAGGTCGAGGGAGACGTCGAGGCCCATCACTTTTCCCTCGTGGCCTGCCATTGTCTTGAGAGGGGCCCAGTTGGGGCTGGCCCATATCTGTAACAGGGAGAGGGTCTTTCAAATGTGGGTCAAGTTCCATGTCAAATTTACCATGGTTAAATCTACAGGTTACCTAGTTTTACATTGAAAACACAGAAGTTTATCTCAATTCAGTTTATGACAAATTAACACATTAACTCCTTGGTCATAGCAATGATATTGAGTGAAGGAAATGGTTAAGTACAAAGTTTATAGTGGGTTGTCAATCTGATTTAAGAAAACACCTAGAAAAGCCCTTAAACAAAACATGCTGCTGCATTTGCACAAACAGTGAGTGAGTGAGTGAGTTTAACGCCGCTTTTAACAGTATTCCAGTTATATCGCGGCGTGTCAGCTTAATGTGGGAGGAAAGCCCCAAGTGATGCAGGTCTTAGACGTTTACCACTTCGGTGAAACCCATGAGCACAGGTATGGTGCTGACAAACCTAGAAACATAACCCGGGCGAACTGGGATTCGAACCAACAATCATAGGTTTCTGGCATGCCCAAGGGACGCAACTCTGCACAGATAATCGCAGCGCCTTAAGACGACTGGGCCATCCGTGTCCCCAGCTCAAACAGATTTTTCACATCGTAATATGTCACCCACATATATACGACAGATATTGAAGTGTGTGACACAGCTACTTTCTAAGCCAAGATGAAGTGGACCTCCTAAAGAAATTTCATTCTTCACTGCAAGTCGCTCCTAATCAAATGTTTTGTTTGTTTATTGTTTAATGCCGCACCCAGCAATATTCCAGCTGTATGACCGTGGTCTGTAAATAATCGCGTCCAGTGATTGACATCATGAGCATCAATCTACACTATTAGGATATGATGGCATGCATCAACCAAGTCAGCGAGGCTGACCACCCGATCCCATTAGTTCCCTCTTACAACAAGCATAGTCGCCTTTTACGGCAAGCATGGGTTGCTGAAGCCCTTTTCTACCCCGGACCTTCACGGGTTATGAATCAAATGTGGGTCGTGGGGACCTTGTAATCATGCTGCTTTCACCATCATGGTGTGTCAGCCTAGTCAGAAGATAGAGAGATTGGTGTTAGCACTGCAGAACAGTGGTATAAATTTCAACATTATTTTAGGACTGGTCATTTATAATAGGAAGGGGAAAGGTCATGATAAAATGTTACATAAAATGTTCGTTTTGTTTGTTTTCAAGGTCCATAGTTGGAGGGGTTTCCCTAAACAGGTGAGCTACTGTACCTTGGCAGTGTTGTCATAGGAGGCTGTGAGGAGGTAGTTCCCATGTTGAGCTGTAAAGAAAATATCAATATTTCAAAACAAGACAAATGTGTATCCAACAGAAATGCTTGATCATTTCTTAATCTGTTTGACACATTGTGGAAGTGGGCACTTAATACTCCTGTGGAGACAAAAGCAAGACTACTAGTGATTCATGCTTCCCCAGAATCTCTAAGGTGATGTAGGCAGTCAAAGTTTGGTCAGGGACACAAACTACTATGGTTTGGTTTGGTTTGGTTTGTTTGTTGTTTTACGCCCCTCTCAGCAATATTCCAGCTATATGACGATGGTCTCTAAATAATCGAGTCTGGACCAAACAATCCAGTGATTGATATCATGAGCACTCAATAGCGAGCCTGACCATCCTTTTTGCCAGAGTTTAATGCAGGTGTCATATTTTGATGACATTTAGGGTACAGGGGTCCTATTCGGCTTGGAAATAGTCAAAGGGAGACATACATGGGATATTTAGGACATATTCTGCTGCTTTTAACAGTATTCCAGTTATATCGGGGCATGTCAGCTTAATGTTGGAGGAAAACTGAAGTGATGCAGGTTTCAGACATTTACCACTTCGGTGAAACCCACGAGCTCGGGTATGGTGCTGACAAACCTAAAACCAGAATTCGAACCCACAATCATAGGTTTCTGGCGTGCCCAAGGGACGTAACTGTGCACAGCAAATCATGACGACTGGGCCACCCATGGCCGGCCCCCCATCCAAAAAAAGGCAAGGGATACAGGAGACCTATTCTGCCTGAGAATCCCAATGGAGCAATCTCATTAAAATCAGATCTTAGTTCTCGCTACTGCTAAACAAAGATCTGAGGACATCCCATTAGGGGTCACGTCAGAACGACCTTTCATCGACCAATCAGAACATCGCTTACCAGATCATGAAAGTGACAGTCGGAATGTGATTTCTTATCATGCAACCTCAAAAACTTTAACACAGGGTATTCTGAACGATAGTTGCAGGCTTAACGACTGAATACATACAATCTAGACCATCTTTTAGCCCTTCCAGAATGTTCTTTTGTTCAGGTGTCAATTTTTTTATTGAGAATTTGTCAAAATATGTATCAAAGCGTAGTCGCCAATTTGAAATTAGTGCCGTAAGGCATGAGAAAGTTGCCTTCTGATTAGCTAATGTCGACTTCTTGTCAGTCATTTCATTGGTCGGTCAAAGTTTGTGCAAGGTCGGTCTGACGTGACCCGTAATGGAATGTCCTCAGATCTTTGTTTAGCGGTAGAGAGAACTTAGATCTGTTTTTAATGAGATTGCCCATGGAGAGAACAGCAAGGGATACAGGAGTCTGCCCTGTAATCCCCACAGACGGACACAAAGAAAGGCTGTTGGTTGATGGGGACTCACGTTGGAACCTGACGGTGGAGATGAGGTTGGTGTGGGCGGGGATGGTGTAGTTACACTTGCGCTGCCGCAGGTCCCACACCTTGGCTGTGTTGTCCTCGCTTCCTGTAGCCACATGGAACCTGGGACACAATACAACATGACATACAATAACACTGTGCTGACAAGATATATGTGTTACACCCAATCTGTGCAACTGCCCATTGTGTGCATTGGGCAGTGACATGTATAAGTTTATAATCTTATTCACAAGCGTCAAAAGGACAAAGTTATTTTATAAGGATCTATTCATCGAGTTATTTCACAAAGATCTGTTCACTGAATTGTTTTCACACACGTATGCGTCAACATTAAGTCATAAATTACTATTAATATGATTTCTTAACTTCTGCAAAACACAAATAAAAGATGGCTCGAAAATAATATGTCTGCCCAAATGTTGACTTTAATGTGCACCAAATAAATGTGATCAACCATATTTATTTTTTTTTAAATTAATAAACAATGTATCTACTCACAAAATTGTATTTCCTGCTTACAAGCATGGGTTGGGCTATGTATAATTATAGCTAAAATGGATAGAATTATCATTAAACCGCCCGCATGTTATCAAAAATGAGCGGGCCACTGTAACTTGATAATGCCCTCATATTGCTTGACGACGGGCCATTATCACGCCCGTTGTTAGGTGACGTCATAGGATAGGGATAGGTGACGTCACGTTCAATAGTGACATCCTTTAGTTTGTTCTATGACATTTGCATATTTGTACAAGTGGGTCAGTGACATTCGTGTTGATTGCAGTAAATGTTTCAAAACCGACATTGTTGTTTCTTTTTATTTGATAACAAATCATCGGGCAGTTAATCAAAGACCTCAGGCTTCTGCAAATGATAATGCCCTGAAAAATAGCGTTACCCTAGCATTGACCTACAGTGTATTGTTTGGATATCAATTTACCTGAATGCATGAAACAAGTTATCCTTTTAAAAGGTGTTCATCGTAATACATTCAGTTACAATTAGTTTCTCCATCTGCATGTATACAGTGGGGCTGTGTATTGGCAAGCATCATGTATTGCAATACCTGTATATTGCGATACAGGTATCTGTATTGCACTACATATTGCGATATATTGGGAGCTAAAATACCTGACAGTGATAGACATTGACAGTACATGCAGAGCCTATATTCTACATTCTACAGTAAATATTCCTATGGTCAGCCACCACCATTTCGTAATCAACGATACAGGGAAGATAACAACCTGGGAGAAAGATCACTGGACTCTCGTCAATAATATCAAAGGGAAATAACACTTGTGAATGAGTTTCTGTGTAGATATTAAGTTAAACAAGACAAATAAGAACAAAAATTGGTATATTTGTTTTACCCAATATACCAGAACATAGAAAAAGTATGACAATAGGTATCGTTTGAAAAGCATATTGCACTGTACCGGTGTACCGGTAAAACCATGTATTCCTAGTGCACAGAAGAAACTTGAGCTGAAAACTGACCAGAAGACATATTAATCTGTCATAACTCATGGTCAGGATTGCCAAAGCCGCAATTTTACAACATTGCTAGAAGAGACCCCTTGTTTGTTTGTTTGTTTGTTGATTAACACAGCAATATTCCAGCTGTATGATGGCAGCCTGTAAATATTCAAGTGAGACCAGTGATTGTTTTTACGACACGCTTATGAACCAGGTCACCAAGTCTGACAACCCGATCCATTAGTCTCTTAATGCAGGCATAGGTTGCTGGGGACCAATCTGAACCATGGAAAGGCACCCCTAGACTTTGGTTAAAAAACAATAGCCACTTGATAAATGGCCTTTACCAACCTGTTTTTACACTCCCAGACATAACCTGCCAACACTGATGACATGTTACTCACCCGTCAGGACTGAAGTCCACAGAGAGGATGGACTTGAGGTGGCCTTCCATGAACATCACACAGCGACCTGTCCGTAGGTCCCACACTCGCCCATACGCATCCAGCCCCCTAGCAGGTACAAGTACACAGATTACACCACAGGTACAGAAGCTCACCTATATTATGTGATACAACCATGGTGCTGAACTACATCCAGCAGGGATCTATTGTGTCCCAGAATCCCTATGTGGGTTGGAACATTAAGAACATTACAAATTCTTGAAGAGTTGTTGAGACAAGTGTTGCTCCATCATTCTGGAAGGCATTGCATTTTTGTTTCTATTTTATTGTTTAATGCCGCACTCGGCAATATTCTGAGATGGAGTACAAGGTTTGCATACTCCGTGACACGATCGCTCCATTGTTCTGGAAGGCGATGGTGTACAAGGTTCACATACCCTGTGACAGCGAGTGTTCCATCGCTCTGAAAGGCGATGGTGTACAAGGTTCACATACCCTGTGACGACAAGTGCTCCATCGTTCTGGAAGGCGATGGTGTACAAGGTTTACATACCCTGTGACAGCGAGTGCTCCATCGTTCTGAAAGGCGATGGTGTACAAGGTTTACATACCCTGTGACGGCGAGTGCTCCATCGTTCTGGAAGGCGATGGAGTACACAGGCTTACTGTGGCCCTCCTGGTGCAGGATCTCCTCCTGGGCTTGTAGGTCCCACAGCCGCCAGGAGTTGTCAAAACTGGAAGACATAACACATGCAGGTTATCCATACTGCATCTCACTACCTTAGTCTCCATACAAACTGATGATACCTTTACACAGACAGAATCGTATTTCCCTACAACCCCCTCCGTGGATTAGTGGTAGAGCGTCGGTCCGGAGAGCGGAAGGTCCCACTTCAAACAAGGACTGGTCGGCTCGGAGTCAGTATACTGTGTCTGAGTGGGGTATTCATGTTAAAATCCAGCATGGTATCTAAGTGTGCTAGCACTATAAATCAGCATCAGTCCAGACCAGTACAGACACAGACACAGACACAGACACAGACACACACACACACAGACAGACAGACACAGACAGACAGACACAGACACACACAGACAGACAGACACAGACAGACAGACACAGAGAGACAGACACAGACACAGGGACACAGACACAGACACACAGACACACACACACACACACACACACACACACACACACACACACACACAGCTGTGGGAACATGAGTCAATCAGGGCTCAAATAGATCTGAACATTTTAATTGTCTGAAAATGATAAATAGTTTCTTACATGTCTTATCTAAAATATCAACAACAAAAAAAAAGACCTAGATTGGCAAAAGGCATAAATGTCACATATCAAGATGATAACTTATACAGTTTTATAGTTCTGCTTCTGAAATCAACAGCCCCAGACAATGGACACATACAAACATATCAGTAACTCAAAATTCTAAACATGGAGATGAGAATCATGCAGCCATAAAATGGATGCTCTCATGATAACCACTGATTTTCCTGGTAAAGAATTGATTATTGATACTACATAGCTGGATTATTGCTGACTGTGGCATAAAACAACATTGACTCACTTTCTTCACTGCTAGCACAGAAACATATAAACTTGAATGCACTCTTCATACAAGTAACATGTTTATTCTTGAAATACATTGGACTTACCAGCATGTCCCAAGGAATCGTCCTGAAGGGTGGTAGGCCAGTTTCGACACTCTGAACGGTGCGTGACCTTCAATATCAGCAATAGGTTCATCACTGAAACAAACACCGACATGTTTTCTAACACAGCATAGATACAGGAGTGACAATCTCATACATGGTTAGATCTACAGGTAATGTGGGAGGAAATCCAAAAGAGATACACAGACGTTTACCACTATGGTGTTGACAACCAATGATCCTAAGTTGGTCTGACATTTGAAGCATTATCAGCAGACCCTTCTACAGCTAAGGGACCCAACTTAAAATGAGGTGTTTAAGTATGCATGATATAGAAAGCCACAAGTCCTAGGAAAGTGTAAGGCACCACCAAAAACAAGTTTATTGTATTATTATTGTATTATTCTACCATGAATTTTGAAATAACTCGATTCTGATTGGTCAATCAGAGGCTATTAAATCACAAAAAAAAACCTCTGATTGAAACAGCTGGTTTGACGGCCGCATCACCGCGGAAGCTAATATTCATAGAATAGTACTATTTTCAGTCATTGTCAGGAGACATGTTTAAATAATTATATCTACAATGACAGGTTACAAAATGCACAAATGCGGTTACTAAAATATTCAAAGGATGTGTGGCAATACATTTCGTGCAGAATACACGATAGAAATCTACAAAGGGAATGAATTTACATTTTGGAGACAACAGAGAGCTTAGAATTTGGCGCTTTTCTATATATGACTGTGACGTCGGTTCCACATTCAATTTAGCTTTAAATCTACAGGTAACGGAGCTCTACACTGAAAACACAGTATGTTTATCTCCTAATTAAGAAACATGAACATGAGTGGCAGAGTTGGTTTGTTTGTTGTTTAACGCCGCACTCAGCAATATTCCAGCTATATGAAGGCGGTCAGTAAATAATTGAGTCTGGACCAGATAATCCAGTGATTGATATCATGAGCATCGATCCACGCAATTGGGGTTGATGACATGCATCATACAAGTCAGCGAGCCTGACCACCCAATCCCGTAAGTCGCCTTTTACGACAAGCATAGTGGCCTTTTACGTCAAGCATGGGTTGCTGAAGACCTATGCTACCCCAGAATCTTCACGGGTCGAGTGGCAGAGAATGATCCTTATTTTCAATGTTTTCAGCCTTGTGAAATAAACATGGATGAGGTAAATGAGGTCAGTCAAAGACAAAGCTCAGTCTCAACAAAACTCATTGGCAATTGTCAAAATAAGAATTGCTATATATTGAACAGCCTAGGTTCAACAGCTTGTCACAACTGCCCTGTCCACAAGACACCAAACAGTATGGCAGAAGCATTGCTGGGTGCGGTGTCAGGCAACAAACACTGACTTCTTCATGCAGATTGTGTGAGTGGTTGGGGCTACAGGTAGAGCAGAACAAGCTTATCCTTTTCAAGAACACCTGGCGTCATCACTGTCTTTCAGTGATCCATTCATTTAATTTTCATCACTATTTTGCCTTTTACACCCAATGGAATCTCTTTCAGCATAACTGAGACTGATCATTCTCTGGTGTTGTCATTTTGAATATACTGCACAAACCTGACTAGGTTCCAGAGCTTGACGGAACCATCCTGTCCACATGACGCCATACAGCACACGTTTTTGTCAAGACCGATTGTAGCATCAGGGTGGAACACAATGGCACCCACATGACAGTTGTGACCTAAACAAAAATCATTTTCCACTTTAAATAGTTAACTGTCAATACAAAATGGCGTGCATATTCAACAATAGAATATGATGTACCTTAAATCTTTAAATTAATATGCGAGTGAAATTAATGCGAAGTCGTCTTTTCTTGCATGAATTAATCCTTGCATTGATGTCTAAAAACAAGAGGGCCTCCTGTCCTATCCCTTCAGGTAAATAACGGGTGTAAAACAAACTTGGTCTATAAGTTTTCTTACAGGAGTACTCTACTCTAGTAAGCGGCGCTCATTGCTTTTTGATTGGATAATGGTTCGAATAAATACATCAGGGTAAACCTCATGGAAGTCATCTTCTCTCATTGAAATTCCACTGGGGTTTGGGGGGGTCATAAATTTATTAGTAAGTATTGATAACTGTCGATGCGACAAAAAGGTCTTTTTTTAATCCATATCAGCAACAAAAAAAGACATAAGCAGACTGATAATTAATAGTTCGGCAATTTGTAGTTTATCTCCAAAAATATCTTTTCAAGCATTGGCATGAAACAAATATACTGGTACATATAATCAAGCGGCATTTGAAATCTAAGAAGTTTTCATTTCAATGTCACATTAATCAGTAAAACGCTGCAATATGTACAAGTAGATACACATGTACTCAGTGTTAGTCATGGCCATACCTCGCAACTGTCGGACCAACTGACAGTCTGGAATGGACCACAGTTTACACAAACCAGACCTGAAATACATCAAACAGACTTCATTATCATCCTGACTCTTGGCTATCTTAATATCAAAACATCAACTAACTGACTCAAAATGTCCAGTTTCCACCCTTGCTGAATGAGGCTGGAATTTCTGGGCTCGATCGTAGCGCCACCATTGGATATTACGAGTTACGGCCTGCCTATGCTCCTCCTACTGACCAATCTGATTCCACCTTGCATATTGCTTCAAACAAATTGGCGGCGCCAAGGCAAGACGATCTGATCGATGATCAAGATCTATATTAAAATAGAATGGGTCTTCGCGAAGTGCATCAAATCACTCCCACCTTGATTAAAAACTTTTTAAAATTTGGAAAATATCTGTCAACGCCCAGTTGATGGTGCATATCCTTTGCAAATTCTGCAGTCGACTGTAATCTGCACGTTGAAATCCATGTTTACGAAGCGGATGTCGATTTTGTCACTCTTTAGTCCAGACAAAATATAACTCCATAATACCAGCCTAATGCAGGAAGGGGGGAAACTGAACTTTAATAGTCAGTTAACACCCTTGCCATGGGAATATGGCCCTGAAAAATCCATTTCTTACCTCTGTAACCATGGTAACAAACAATGTGAGGGAGAGAGTTTGGTGTGTGCCAGTACAAGCACGATTGGTCTACATGTTGGGAGATAAACCCCAGTTTTCAGTATGAATAGCTTTTCACCACTAGGCTACACCATGACCCCTAGAAACAGTTTAACACGTTTAAAGGTCAGGCAATAAAAGAAAGTATAATAAGTCGGATGGAATATTGTCTGAATGTTGTCATATCCCGTATGTCAAACATAGGTATCAATGATTTCTGTGAATGTGAATTATTGTAAGGTCTCATAAGTGAGATTAGTTCAACTGAAATGTACAACGAGTGAAAGGTTACCATGAGGCGACAGCAAGCATCTGTGAGTCAGGGCTGAACTGACAGTATGACAGTGGTCGGTCATCACCGATCTGACTGCAGTCATTCGTTACGGACTGTAAGGAAGAGGAAATCTCAATGAGTGATAGTGGTGTAACAATACAGTGATACAGTATGTATCTCGATACAAGGCCATGATACAATACAACGTTTTATAACCCATGTATCCTGATACATATGAGACATTATTATGCCTCAAAGTGAGATTGACCAATCAGACCCCACATAAGCCCGTATACTGTCAGTAAAAATCCAAGATGGTTGTTACTGACCTAATATGAGACTGTATACAGTCAGTAACAGCTATTATGGATTTTCCAACACCCACCTCACATGTTTCATATGGAAATCTGGTATGTCGTTCTTTGACATTGTTTTGTGTTTTGATATCATTAATTTTGATGTGCAAGGACGTTAATGTTTTTTCGGATCACGTTCATGACTTTAATAAAGATTATATAAAGTTAAAATTATCAACAAGGTTTGGCCTCTGAGGTTTGAAGAGTAGTCTCCCTTTGATGCTTAACGTCTTAGGTTGAAAGTGTTAAGTTTTGAGTTTTAAGTTTTGACATGACATGTGCGACAAAAATATGAAGTAGTGTAAACTTTTTGGCATAATAAATTAGTTATGGTGTCTTTAGTTGCCGTATACAGTGTCTTATTAGGTTAGCAGAAAAATATTGGGCTCGGCATCATACATTACAAGTTATATCAGTGTAAAATTACATAAACAACAGACATAAATGGTAAACATAACTGTTAAACAATACTACTCATGCAGATTCTCTAGTATTTCCCGGTTGGCTATAAATAGCATAACATTCACAGTGCCCTCTAGCCTATATGATGCTTCCCTACAATATCCCCTCCTTGACCTCTGAAATTTCAAAACAAATGAATCTGGGTTGTGCTTCACCAACAAAGAAAGAATATCAACAAGTGCTGTATCAGGATACGCATCATATTGCACCCATAGTATCGGGATATGTATCGTATGGCAACCACACCATATCATACACCTCTGGTGAAGCAAAGTCTGTTTTTAGTCTATAAGTAGAGTGAGTGACAAAATGTGGTTTTACATGGTAAACAATATTCCAGCCATATCACAGCAGCCAGAAAGCAGAAAAAGATGTAGACACTCCACCAACAGCAGTAGGGATGTTTGTTTTGTTCTTGTGAATGCAAGCTGGTGAACGCAAGCAGGGTCTAAATGGTCCCAACACATTTATTTTAAAGTGCAAGTATCATGAAAAATAGTAACAGATGTTCTTACATCAATATGTAGCCATCAACAACACAATGGCCAAAAAAAAGAGTGTGAAAACGTAAACTTAGACCTGTTATGCTTGATTAAGAGTATGTATTTATAGGTCTGTATTTGTAACAACCCAAATGGCCTTTAAAATGCAAACGAGGAGGTGTAGTTTAATATGCACGGCCGGCCAGGCCTGCAAGCTGATTGGGTATTACCACCAGGTGGGTACAAAACATGCACAATCTTTTCATTAGTTGTGGTGAGACTTTCCTCCAACATGACCATATAGAGAACCTCTGACAATAAAGGCTCTGCCTCCACTGTATTGTCATTTCAGCCTTTGAAATTGATAGACAGGACAAAAGTTCAAATGAAGCTTATTTACGCACCGCTTTCGATGTTTTGAATACAATATTTGCATTAATGGTGTTAAGATCTATCCAAATCTGCAAAGTTGTATAAACCCTTAAGACTTGCATTTTAATATTGTGAACAAAAATAATTACGTAGACAAAGACATTCCACGGAATACAGACTTACCCTAATTCTTTTCTGTAGTTCTTGCATCTGTGCGTTCTTCTGTGCTGTGGGAGTCAGTTTGTGTGAGCGTTCTCTTCCAACCCTTTCCTTCGCTCTGCAACATAGCAATAACAGGGGCTAACAACATTTGCTCTATACAGTGATATTAGGAGCATCCCCTACAGTGCTCTATCCAGTGACCATCCCCTACAGTGCTCTATACAGTGATATTAGGAGCATCCCCTAAAGTGCTCTCTCCAGTGACCATCCCCTACAGTGCTCTATCCAGTGATAAGCCCCTACAGAGCTCTATCCAGTGACCATCCCCTTAAAGTGCTTTATCCAATGATCATCCCCTACAGAGCTCTTTTCCAGTGATCATCCCCTACAGTACTCTATCCACTGATATTGGGATCATCCCCTACAGTGCTCTATCCAGTGATCAGCCCCTACGGTGCTCTATCCAGTGACTATCCCCTACAGTGCTCTATCCAGTGACCATCCCCTACAGTGCTCTATCCACTGATATTAGGATCACCCCTACAGTGCTCTATCCACTGATATTGGGATCATCCCCTACAGTGCTCTATCCACTGATATTAGGATCACCCCTACAGTGCTCTATCCACTGATATTAGAATCATCCCCTACAGTGCTCTATCCACTGATATTAGAATCATCCCCTACAGTGCTCTATCCACTGATATTGGGATCATCCCCTACAGTGCTCTATCCACTGATATTAAAATCATCCCCTTCAGTGCTCTATCCACTGATCATCCCCTACAGTGCTCTATCCACTGATATTAAAATCATCCCCTACAGTGCTCTATCCACTGATATTAGGATCACCCCTACAGTGCTCTATCCACTGATATTAGAATCATCCCCTTCAGTGCTCTATCCACTGATCATCCCCTACAGTGCTCTATCCACTGATATTAAAATCATCCCCTTCAGTGCTCTATCCACTGATCATCCCCTACAGTGCTCTATCCACTGATATTAAAATCATCCCCTACAGTGTTCTATCCACTGATATTAGGATCACCCCTACAGTGCTCTATCCACTGATATTAAAATCATCCCCTTCAGTGTTCTATCCACTGATATTAGAATCATCCCCTACAGTGCTCTATCCACTGATATTAGAATCATCCCCTACAGTGCTCTATCCACTGATATTAGAATCATCCCCTACAGTGCTCTATCCACTGATATTAGAATCATCCCCTACAGTGCTCTATCCACTGATATTAGGATCATCCCCTACAGTGCTCTATCCACTGATATTGGGATCATCCCCTACAGTGCTCTATCCACTGATATTGGGATCATCCCCTACAGTGCTCTATCCACTGATATTAGGATCATCCCCTTCAGTGCTCTATCCACTGATCATCCCCTACAGTGCTCTATCCACTGATATTAAAATCATCCCCTACAGTGCTCTATCCACTGATATTAGGATCACCCCTACAGTGCTCTATCCACTGATATTGGGATCATCCCCTACAGTGCTCTATCCACTGATATTAGGATCATCCCCTTCAGTGCTCTATCCACTGATCATCCCCTACAGTGCTCTATCCACTGATATTAAAATCATCCCCTTCAGTGCTCTATCCACTGATCATCCCCTACAGTGCTCTATCCACTGATATTAAAATCATCCCCTACAGTGCTCTATCCACTGATATTAGGATCACCCCTACAGTGCTCTATCCACTGATATTAAAATCATCCCCTTCAGTGCTCTATCCACTGATATTAGAATCATCCCCTACAGTGCTCTATCCACTGATATTAGAATCATCCCCTACAGTGCTCTATCCACTGATATTGGGATCATCCCCTACAGTGCTCTATCCACTGATATTAGGATCACCCCCTACAGTGCTCTATCCACTGATATTAGAATCATCCACTACAGTGCTCTATCCACTGATATTGGGATCATCCCCTACAGTGCTCTATCCAGTGATCATCACCTACAGTGCTCTATCCACTGATATTGGGATCATCCCCTACAGTGCTCTATCCACTGATATTAGAATCATCCCCTACAGTGCTCTATCCACTGATATTGGGATCATCCCCTACAGTGCTCTATCCACTGATATTAAAATCATCCCCTTCAGTGCTCTATCCACTGATCATCCCCTACAGTGCTCTATCCACTGATATTAAAATCATCCCCTACAGTGCTCTATCCACTGATATTAGGATCACCCCTACAGTGCTCTATCCACTGATATTAGAATCATCCCCTTCAGTGCTCTATCCACTGATCATCCCCTACAGTGCTCTATCCACTGATATTAAAATCATCCCCTTCAGTGCTCTATCCACTGATCATCCCCTACAGTGCTCTATCCACTGATATTAAAATCATCCCCTACAGTGTTCTATCCACTGATATTAGGATCACCCCTACAGTGCTCTATCCACTGATATTAAAATCATCCCCTTCAGTGTTCTATCCACTGATATTAGAATCATCCCCTACAGTGCTCTATCCACTGATATTAGAATCATCCCCTACAGTGCTCTATCCACTGATATTAGAATCATCCCCTACAGTGCTCTATCCACTGATATTAGAATCATCCCCTACAGTGCTCTATCCACTGATATTAGGATCATCCCCTACAGTGCTCTATCCACTGATATTGGGATCATCCCCTACAGTGCTCTATCCACTGATATTAGGATCACCCCCTTCAGTGCTCTATCCACTGATCATCCCCTACAGTGCTCTATCCACTGATATTAAAATCATCCCCTTCAGTGCTCTATCCACTGATCATCCCCTACAGTGCTCTATCCACTGATATTAAAATCATCCCCTACAGTGCTCTATCCACTGATATTAGGATCACCCCTACAGTGCTCTATCCACTGATATTAAAATCATCCCCTTCAGTGCTCTATCCACTGATATTAGAATCATCCCCTACAGTGCTCTATCCACTGATATTAGAATCATCCCCTACAGTGCTCTATCCACTGATATTGGGATCATCCCCTACAGTGCTCTATCCACTGATATTAGGATCACCCCCTACAGTGCTCTATCCACTGATATTAGAATCATCCACTACAGTGCTCTATCCACTGATATTGGGATCATCCCCTACAGTGCTCTATCCAGTGATCATCACCTACAGTGCTCTATCCACTGATATTGGGATCATCCCCTACAGTGCTCTATCCAGTGATCATCACCTACAGTGCTCTATCCACTGATATTAGAATCATCCCCTACAGTGCTCTATCCACTGATATTGGGATCATCCCCTACAGTGCTCTATCCACTGATATTAAAATCATCCCCTTCAGTGCTCTATCCACTGATCATCCCCTACAGTGCTCTATCCAATGATCATCCCCTACAGTGCTCTATCCAATGATCATCCCCTACAGTGCTGTATCAGTGATTCTGGGCTTACCTTGGTATGGAGTAATCAGACAGCCAGTACCGGGCATCCTTTAAGCTGTCCGTACCTTCATGGTACCACGTGATATTCTCCTGAAAACACCTTATACTGTAACATTCGTCAAACAAATACAATCGTCTTCAGAGAAAAACAACTTAAGGTCTGAAACCTGATATATCCATTCCTCATGCTACTTTTATTTGATAATTAGCTGTGATTCTGATCTATTGATATCATGTCCTATCTGGTGACATCATCTATGGTCAGTGATAAACATGCCCAAACGCCCAATGCAGTACAAACTTATGCCAGAAGGTCATGTGCCTCTTACTGATTTCCGAAGAAAGTTATAGTCACTAGTTCAAATTCCTGTTTGGGAAATATTACATAAAGTCCCATGCCTCTAGCTGCCTTCATAAGAAAGTTTTTGCACTTCTGATCTAATGACCTTGACCCTCAATTTCAGCTAATCATATGCTTGATTATTTCTAGATGGAAACATGGGATGGTTGATTGCAGAAGAAAAATAACCTTAAGAATGGCCCTTACAACCTTGACCACCTTATACGACCTTGACCTTTAACACAGGGCTGCTTTAATGGATGTAAGTATGTTTGCAAAGAGTCATCACCAGGAAAAGTGGCAGCCAACACGAAGCGAAAACGCTGAATACCTCATTGCATTGTGTTTGGACAGTGATCAGTCATCAGGAAGTTACTATATTTAGATACTAATGAGGTGTGTAAAATTCCGGTCCGGTATCCCGTGGACGGTGATAGTATCTTACCGAAATTTCTGTAATTTTCTATGTTATGAGGACTATGTGAAACTTTCTAATAGCTGGTTAGGCTGTATATATAGTGGGACAAGAGCATTTTCATTGCTTTGAAACCAGCTTTCATGTGAGGATCGTTCATCATCCCTGATACCCTGCCTAGCCCATCTCGAAAGCTTGACCACTGTCACCCCTAGGGGAATATAAAATAATACCACAGGCCCTTGATATCACCACTGTATTATCGTATTTGATACTGACCACTGCCATCATATTATTTATTGCTATTAAATATTGTACTACCACTCGATTGTGTACTGCCATTGTAATTGCTGTGCAGTAATTTGTATTGATTTGTAAACCTAGTTAATTATCATTTATTTATTCAAATTAACACGTTAAACAGATAACTAATGCTTTGAGAGGAATCGGACCAGAAAAGCTCCCCGATGTTAGTATCCTTATTAAGACTTAAGTTTTATTCCTCTAACCTCTTCTTTCTTCCTCTGTTCCTGCAACTTTTCTTCCTTCTTCTTCTTGACGGCATCTTCTCCGAGTCGAGCCAACAACTGGCGCAGTCTCTCTCGCCTCTCAGCTGGACCCTCGCCGAACAGACCTGGGAGACAAGAGACAGTGAGTGAGTGAGTGAGTGAGTGAGTGAGTGAGTGAGTGAGTGAGTGAGTGAGTGAGTGAGTGAGTGAGTGAGTGGGTGAGTGAGTGGAAGGGGTGAAGAATGAGAGCAAGAGATGTAGTGAAGGTGCGTGAGGGGAATGAGTGAACAAGATGAGGGGGAGTGACGAAAAGAGGAATGAGAGGGCGAGAATGATGGAGTGAGAGGGTGAGTGAAATGACAGAGAGAGACACAGAGAGGGAGTTAGTAAGTGGAATGAGAGGGCGAGAATGATGGAGTGAGAGGGTGAGTGAAATGACAGAGAGAGACACCGACAGGGAGTTAGTAAGTGGAATGAGAGAGCAAGAATGATGGAGTGAGAGGGTGAGTGAAATGACACAGAGAAAGCCACACAGAGAGGGAGTTAGTGAGTGGAATGAGAGAGAGAATGAGGGAGTGAGGGGGTGAGTGAGTGAAGTGACAAAGAGTGACAGTGAGGCAGAGAGAGAAAGGGGTGTTAGTAATTGGAATGAGTGAGTGAGAGTTAGTGGAAAGACTACGCCAGTAAGACGGAGAACGTGTGAGTGGAATGTGTGAATGAGAGTATGGGGGAGAGAGGATGAGAGAGTGAGAGGCTGAGGGAGAGGGACAGTCAGCCATACTTGTACTCACATATCGGTTCTCCCAACTGTCGCAGGTTGGCCTTAACCTCTGAGTCATCTGTCGACACCTGAATCTGACGAGCCTGACATGGGAAAGAAAATAAACAAAACACAGATGTCATTATGTCTTAATATATGATGCTAGCAGCACCTGATAGTCTACAGAATTGCCAACTTTAAAGCATCACATGACTTCAAGTTGGTGGGGGTGTAACCATATTTTTTTAGGGGAAGCTACACTTTGCTTAAGCGACGCTCTGATTGGTCGGTGAAAGGTCGTTCTGACGTGACCCCTACTAGGATGTCCTCAGATCTTTGTTAAGCGGTAGCGAGAACTAAGATCTGATTTTAATGAGAATGGAAAAATTAAGTAGTTTCAAAGTTTGTGATGAAATCAGAGAACTACACAATAGATAACGATACAAACATTGTGATAAAAAAAAATAAAAAATTAAATAATCATATTGTTATGTTACATTGTTTGCAGAATACTTTTTCTAATCATGCAACCTCTAAAACTTAACCCAAAGCTACTGTTACAGGCTGTATGACTGATTCAAAATACTTTTAAAGTCATAGTCTGGAATGAAAGTCCCCATTTTAAAAACAAGTGCCGCAAAGCTCAAGAAAACTGCTTTCTTTGTCATGTTTGTGGCTAAAGTCGACTTCCTATTAGTCATTCTATTGGTCGGTCAAAGTTTGCAAAAGGTCGTTCTGACGTGACCTGTAATGGGATGTCCTCAGTGGTAGCGAGAGCTTGTATCTGATTATAATGTGATTAAGGTAATCTAAGCATGTGATTAATCCTGTTTTGTTTATTCAAAGCATTAATTTTTATTGTTCAGCAAGTTTTTCTCTGCATCCGTTGTAATATACAGCTACTAGCCGACTCATCTCGCATCAAAACACAGTGCTGTGTACTCGCGGGCACACTGATCACTGTGTCGAATTACTGAGAGTGATTAATGAGTGCTTTCGGTAATTTGTTGCAAATTAGGTGTGTTGGAGTGCGAGACTGTCGGATTTACGGGTCTAAATAGCACTGATTTAATCGGTTCCCATCATTGGGGTTGGATAAAGCTGACTGTTGGATTAAAGAGTGATGGACTAACGAGACTTGACTGTATATTCCCCTCCGGAAACTGACTCCAGAAATATGTCATCAATTTCAAAACTATTGCTATGAAGGCCAGAAATAATCACCCTGGCATAAAACATGGATGTGACACTTACCCGTTTCCTCTTCTCAAACTGAGCCAACACCTCTGCCTGACTCTCAGCCTCGGCCTCGTCTATGTCAAAGTGTCCTCCTACACAGAAGAAGGGGGATGTTCATTGACATCTTACGTAGTGATATGTGAAAGTAATTTTAGTGCCGGTAGAGACTGTTGTAAACATATTTGTAGTAAATGTCACTTTGTCAGTATCAGCAAATGATTGAACTACTGGTGAAACAATATATTAAGAGTCATCCCATTTGAACAGTGGAATCCAAGGCATTTGATTGTCTAACCAAGCAATTTCTTTTGCCCATAAACAGAAATAACATGTAGGTCAGGCCCACTGTTTCCTGATTGGCTCATAATAGGGTGGGTGGGCTTTGGTAGCATTGTTGGGTTGTACATTGTCACTGATTTGTATTGACTATTGTATTGTCATTTTTTGTGTGTTAATGTTTAAATAAGCAGTCTGTGAACATGGTCAACTTATTGTTGTTGGCTTATTTATTTATAAGAATTGACTTCATTATGTTTTTGCATTTAACATATTATGGGGGTATAAACTTTAAAAAATCAGTGTCCACACTTGGTATGAATCAGAAAACAACATGCAAGGATCAACATTTTTGTTTAATGTTTATCATCTAAGGTCTGGAGATTTCCTAGCCATGTGTTACCTTCAGTGATGTTGATGTTGCCAGCTTCAATGCCTGCCTCGATGGCATCACTAGCCATGGAGCCTGAAGTGTCATCAGTGTTAAGGCGACGTCTCTCCTGGTCTTCCAAACTTCCATAATGCAACACCTTCGACCTCTTTGGGACAGGAAGATCCAATTCGTCATCGGACATTTTACTGACATGGAAAAAGTTTTTGTGAGTGAATATGTTGGATTCGGTGAATCATATCAGCCATAAGCATGTCAAAGCAACATGAAACTTTTGAATTGAAAGTGAAAGCAACAGGGCTACTGCAGGTTTAGGAACATTGATTCAGAACCTCTTGAATGTTATTAAGTGTGTGGCACTCTTTGTCGAAACAACACAAGCTTCCGTATCAAAGGAACTGCATTGTTTATGAATGATGTACGATAAAATTCTCACTTAGACATTCAACCGTACTGAACCACTGATAGATCAGTAAACAGCCATAAACATGTTCAAAACTGCATAACCAAGAACTTGAAGTTCAATAGTGTACATAATTTTCTTGGTTGTAATGACGAGACGTATATCCGCCTGGTACCATCAAGGTTGCTTCTAACACAAGACCGATGCAACCTTGTCATACGACATATCCACACACGGTAAGTTTTGATACGCGAAAACCGGGTAGAGTTCTCTGGAAAAGCAATAGACATATATATTGCGATGTTTACTCACGTATTTATTGATTTAGAAGATACAAAATATAGTTGAGTTTGGTTGTTTCTTAGTGAGTTTCCATGGCATATATCAATTGATTGTCGTTTGAGTTAATGCTTCTCAGCTATCACATTAAATCATGATCAGAACGCGTTCGTGTGTCGTTTTCATGGGCGCAGACATCTTTGTTCTGAAATCTCGACTATTCTCGCGGTAACTGGAACAAATATGAGTAGTACGACTTATTACAGCTTGGTTACTTAATATATACTACACCACTGTTGCTTTCAGTGGTTGGTGATTAGACTGAGTAACATTAAAAAGATCATGTTGATATATAAAAAAAGTTTGTAATTTACAAAGAATGATTGTCAACAGTATAATAAATATACGTATTTTCTTTTCCTGTCGGAATAGTTTGACTGACAACAACTCCACACTGAAACTGGAAAGGATTTCGTGCAAGTCTGCCAAAGTTTAAAAACAACACAGCAAGGGGACAATTTTTTACAAATCTGCTTGAAGGACTAAACCTTTTCAACAGCCGTGACAAAGGCCCGAGCTTTCAAAAATGTTAAGACGCAACCCAACACGAATTGAGCTAAAAATTAATGATCTCGAGGAATATGAAAATATGAAGAAAGAACTTGAACAGAAGAAAGAGCCAAAATCTTTTCCATTGGAGAGCCCTACTCCCGATTCTTTGGAAGCTAGAACAAATATTAATATGGTTCATTCCAGGATTGGATTCGACCCTAAACCACTTCCCCAACCGTCAAGACTTCCTATTCATTTCCAGTGTTGATGTGCGTCAAATTTAAATGCGTGTTAGAAGAAACTGGTGTATGGGCCTGAGGTGTTGCAAAAGTGAAGAAGCTGTGATGTTTTTTTTATCGTGTTTCACTTATCTCATGATCATAATTAACTCGGTTTCTACTGAGATTTCCCTTTGTAGGAAATAAATAATCTCAATATTTTAACACAACAGTGCACATGACACCAGTTGCACCAAACCAATGAAAGATATCCAGTTGCTTATTCTATGTGTTAGAGTGGTTATTTTGTGACACAAAACTCAAGAGATGAAATCCCATTGGCCCAGGAAGGATCTTCAGCCTCATCAGCAGGAACAGGAAAACCAACTTCATTCAAGGAAAACAAACGTCATGCTTTTAGAACTGACATCTAAAACCAACACTAGTAACAGAAGACATAGTTTCATCACTGTTCATGATTCCCTCATCTGATAAACAATGAATTCCTAGTGACAGTAAATCTTTACTGCACTTATCTGTGTCATGATGAGTAAGCAGGTTTTTTTACTAATTGTATATTTATTTGACAGCATGGCTATCTTTTTTAGAAAGATATCTTGCTGATGCAACTCATGTACATAGCACTATCAACTGTTAAGGTATTTGTGTATGATGCTCTATACATGCTATATGTTGCCCAAATGTGTGGATTATTGCTGATGCATGTCATGCAAGTCTCATGCAAGAAATAAAATGGATAAGATTCCTTGTTTTTGCTACCCATTCATTAGGCCCAGTTCAGATGAACTTGTCTTAACACGCTGAAGGCAAAAGACACAATACATACTTGATATCGCCCCAGGAGCAGTTTTCCCTAAAAGTTTACCACAGGACATCATTGGTGTTGTTTTTCAATATGTAATGCATATAAACTGTTGATGTTGCGCAGTTTATCTCAGGCTGTCGGTACATCAGCCTGCACACCAGCTTGCCTGCCCGATATCATGTGGTCTGTAGGGGCCCAGTAATCTTTCAAACCTCATATCCATATTTTCCATGACTAGTAACATTTTGTAAACTGAAGAGTATATACGAAGAATGCGCTCAACACTCAATGAATCTCTCTAATCGCTATTTTTTCCCTATCAGCTAAGCAATCAGTTACTTTCTTTGTCTAAATAAGCGCTAATCAGAACAGTGTAGTACAGAGTAAAGGACAGTTTAGCATGTTTAGTAGGACTCCTATTGCACTTGTAATTGGAATTTCAATATTCAGTTTGTACTCCTGAAATGAGGACCAGTAATCTTTGTTGTGGGATAGTGTAAGTGAAAGGTAACTAGCCCCTATGGCCTGATTTATTTTTATCCTTTTGGCATATAATGCAGGTGGATGTAGTCATCATCTGGTCTTGTTCCATCCGTCTGTCGGTCTGTATTTTGTTTCCGGAACATAACTTGTAAAAGATTTTTCATCCAAACTTGGTACACGTATTAACCAGGGACTACTCTGTGTTAAAAAGGCTGGCTTTAAGAGGTTCTCATTAAACTTAAGAGGTGCCTTTTGCTATTTAGAAATTTTTCGAAATGAATCTTTTTCCTGTTTTCACGGAAACAAGTTAGACGTAGCTGAAAGGGGGAGGTCTTGTTTCTGGATCAAAACTGACTAAAAAACTGTTCAAGATTTTTCATACAAACTAGGTAGATGTATTAATCAGGGCACAAGGTTGTACCTTTTGCTTTGGATTTTTATATATTATACCGTTTCCATGGCAACAAGTTTGACTTTGACTCTGTTCATAGTGTTGTGTTTGTCTTGACCCTATCTCTGAAACTGATAAGTATTCTTTCATGAAACTTTGCACACACAAAGACCATTGTGTCAACTGGTGCCTTTTGCTATTTAGGGATTTAAAAAAAAAAAAATTTCCTCCCCACAGCAACAAGTTTGACATTGACTCTGTTCATATTGGTGTTTACCTGACATAGAAAGACAAAGTTCCAAATCCCAATTCCATGGTTTTGTTTTGATAGCTCAATAACTACTCTTGTATACAGAGAGATAGATTAGTTTGAAATTCTTTCATCAAGTTGCTCTTACTGTAACAGTCAGATGATTTGTCCTTTGAATTAGTGTGGGCTAGGGGGGATTTTTCATCTTCTGATGACTCTTATTGAAAGCAATTTACTCCGTGAAACATTGGACATCTATTCCGGGTCTCTATGAATGAATGTTGGTGAGATAATTTGTTGTCAACCGATCCTTTGGGGCATATGGTGTGATGAACCTTGTGTGTGAGCCTATGTACCCCTCGAGAACGGTTGACAACTTATATTGTCCACAGCTGCAATCCACATCTTGGTCCAGGGGAGGTAGTGCAATACCTGCAGCCAGTCTTGTCCACTGCTGCACTTGATATCTTCCTTGTATAAATCTGGGGTAGTTGCCACACGACCTTAGTTGAGTGGAAGAAACATCCCTTGAGTTCATCTCCACTCCGGGGGCACGGGTGGCCCAGTCGTCTAAGGGCGATTAGCTGTGCAGAGTTGCGTCCCTTGGTCACGTCAGAAACCTAGGATTGTGGGTTCGAATCCCGGTTCGCCCCGATTATGTTTCTAGGTTTGTCAGCACCATACCCGTGCTCGTGGGTTTCACAGAAGTGGTAAATGTCTAAGACCTGCATCACTTCAGGCTTTCCTCCCACATTAAGCTGACACGCCGTGATATAACTGGAATACTGTTAAAAGCGGCGTTAAACCCAACTCACTCACTCACTCACTCACTCCACTCCACTCCACTCCACTCCACTCCACTCCACTCCACTCCACTCCACTCCACTCCACTCCACTCCACTCCACTCCACTCCACTCCACTCCACTCCACTCCACTCCACTCCACTCCACTCCATGGCATGGCATGGATGGCTGCTAATTCAAATTCACGAGAGAGCTTGAAAGTATGAACAGATTCACCAGTGCAATAGGATATTAAACCCAACTGTGCAATACACATGATACATTATGTGCTGCATTTTATTACGCTGTTTATCAAATGCTATATTTGGGATAACACTTTCTTGGTAATGTACAGATTCTCTTACTTTTAGGGTTGAGTCCCATCCAAGATTTGAACCCACACTGCCAGAGTAAGGCACCTAATCGCCAGCACACAAAGTCAGCGTTCTAACCCACTCAGCCACTGAAGAAATTGTCATCCAAAATATAGCATTTCTTACATTTGACCACTTTCAAAATGGCATTGTGTGTTCATACACTGTGTATCATTTCAGATTATTTAACACATTCCCACATTTTAGTCAAAAATAGTCCATTGTGATACACATCTGTTGAACAATGCCACCACAATTGTGAGACTCAATTCAATTCTGTCAAAACCTTGATGTTTCAACTTTGATGTGACATTGTTGCAAGGTGTTTTTCTTATTTTAAAAAATCAGTCTCAGTTTTTTATTTAAAAAAATAGCTAATCTTTATACAAAATCCCAGGACCCCAGATAACATCAATGTGTCATTTGGGGATAGTACATTTAGGCAAGAAGTAGACCTCTTTATGGGAACCAGTTGTGCTCTCCTCATTACTGATCTGTTCCTAATTCATATGAATTGGAATTCCTCCTTGGATTGGCAAAATCAAAACAGGAATTTGGTCAAGATGTTCAACTTAAGCTTCAGGGTGGAAATAGGAACCATTTATGGAGAAAGAACACTTAAGCTTCAGGTATGTTGATGATCTGATATCAAATAATGGTCAAATAGCCAATTCCTATTCCCCATGTGAAAAAGAAGTAATAGACTAGTGAAACGGCATCACCTGTATTTCATTTAGATCTATGTGTAAAGATTCAGTGTGACAATAAAGTATTCACAAGACTTTATGATAAGAAAGATGACTTCAACTTTCTGATGTAAACTTCCCCTTTATGTTGAGCAATATTCGACCAGCTCCAGCCTTTTGTGTCTACTCTTCACAACATTTCAAGCATACTCTTTCTATAAAGATTTCAGTGAGTGTCACATACAACTATTGCTCTCAAGATGTTTGACCAGGGTTGCAGAATACCAGGTCTTAGTAAGACTTTCAAAGGTTTTATGGTATATTCGTGGAAGTCATTTCAAATTTAACGCATCAGTGAACAAAATGGTGCTTGACTTGTATCTCTTGTTCCTGTCGACTTCCATTTCAGCCAGTTAGAAAGCAGCTTTCTCGAGTTTTAGGCACTCGTTTCAACCTGGCGACTTCCATTTCAGACTACGCTTGAAAAATATGTTGACCCTGTTCTCGATTAATATTTTGAAAACTGAACAAACAAACATTCTGGAATGTCGAATATATGGTTGAGATTGTATGGCAGTGCTTCCCACGTTCTGTGCAACGCCTCTTCTGTTCAAATGTTTATCCCATGGAAGCGAGAGATTGGTTGGATGAAAGGTCGT